ATCCATCCATCCATCCATCCATCCATCCATCCATCCATCCATCCATCTATATGATTTTTAAGAGTACATCACAATCATGGAACAGCCCCAGGGACACCAAGACCAGTTATAGTCCTCCAACATAGCCAGCTAATTGTAGTGATGACAAAAAGTATTCAGCCTATGGCCTTTCCTGTTTTCATGGCTGAAGCATGATATATATATCAAATGAAAGTTTGCTTCCAGTTTGGCTTGCTAATTGTGATGTATCACCAGTAGGGGTAAAGCAAAGGTCGTGAAAAATCAGACATGTCTAGACCACCGGACCTTTTCAGGTCGTGTGCTTTATCCTTCTTTAACCTCTCAATAGCCTCAACATAGTTGATGAGAGTCTTCATGGTATTTCTCCTCCACGTTTCTGTTCTTGCCTCATTTCAATTATGCCCATCCGTTCACAACAGAATAATTCCTATCAGCAGCCTTTGTTGCCTCTATATCACCTCAAGAATTCCTCCTTTATTTTTTGTTCATTCATGGGATGTGGAAGTTGCTGAGCCAGAATTTGTTGCCCATCTGTAATTGCTCAGAGAGTCATACTGCAGGACAGCAAATTTCCATCCCTAAAAGCCATTAGTGAACCGGATGTATTTTTATGATAATTGACAGTGTTCATTGTTAGACTAGATCTTTATTTCAGATTTTATTGGATTCAAATTTCACCGTCTGTCATGATGGAATTTGAACCCATGCCAACATAACATTTGCCTGGAGTTCTGAATTACTAGTCTGGTGACATTACCACTACACCATCATCTCCGCTAAATGTTCTTATTTATTTTCAATATGTTACATCTTAGTAATCCTATCCAAATGCAAGAGATCAGCTTCCAGAAGTAGACTGATGACATGCAGTTCTGGCTGTCCAACCCTCTCTCAAATCCATCACAGCCTCTACTTTCAGACTGCCTGTCAGATATCCAGTCTTGGGTACCATGTAATTTCCAGCCAAGAAACATCTGATTTCAAAACAAAAGCTCCACAACCTCTGGATGTCTCAAAATGCTTCAAAGCCAAATATGTAGTTTTGAAATTAAGTCATTGTTGTACAATAAGCAGATATAGCAGCTAATTTGTGCACAATAAAATCCTGCAACAAGATAAATCTCCAGTTAAGTTATTTTATTTGTCTTTGTTCAGATATAATTGTGGGCCTGATTTATGACAAAATCCCATTGCCTTTCTCCAAAACACTTCGGCCTCTTTCCTGAGTATTCATATAAATGAGTTTAGACTTCTCTGCTTCAATTAACCCTTCCATAACTTTAACAAAACTCTTCCTGTCTGGAACTTTCAACCTGAAACCTTTTACTGCAGTAACCTATTTCTAAATTTTCTGAACTAACTCCTTGCTCCAGGAGAGCTATTTCATCCATCTAACTTTATTCAGGATGTCTGCAAACTGAAACCAAAAGGTTTCCAAGCTCCAGATGTTCCCCAAAAGCAAACAAAAACTTGAATCCTTCTGAATAAAAGCAAGCTAATGCTCCTTGGTGTTTAATCTGTCCATTTGCAAAACTTCCCCAGTGTAAAAAAATTCTCATACCAGGAACTTTGAACTAATATCACAATAAACCATGGCTCCAGAAACTGGCATTAAACCTCCTCATAGATATTGGCTAAAACCCTCATGCCATGAGTTCAAAATCCAAACTCTAAAGGAAATGATATTAAAACAAAAATAATTTGTACACCTTACATTTAAGTCTCCAAAAATAGCTATTCTAGTGCTCTCCTGGCCAGCCTTTCTTTCTCTTTCCAGAAACTTCACATCATTACAAATTCTGCTTGGTTGCTTCCTGCCCCACATTATGTCCACTGCCCATTTTCCACACCTCAGACCTCATTCATCCATATTGGCACACAACCTTCCACCAGCTTCAGCCCTTTAACCCCAGTGAGCTCTACAAATTCTGAATTAGTCTGACGAGGGCCTGTTGTGCCTCTCTACCACTGGGCACAATCTTAGTTCTCACTGTCTTGAATTCTGTCCCTAAAGTTCTCCACCTCTCTGTCCTTTAAAATGTCCTTCAACCAATTTTCTGTTCACTGTGTTTTCTTTGGTGGCTGTGGTTCCTCGTCTTTCTGAGGCATTTTAAGACAATCTTTTCTCTTTTAGAGCTATCATATGAATATGTACTTGCAAATGATGATGCAAAATACCCATATTTAAATGTTTGGCTTTAGAAAATGGGTAGAGGAATGAAAAATAAAATTTTAAACCAGGGAGTGTTATCCATTCCTCGGAAGATAAACTTGTTTATGACTTCCATTATTTAATTCATCTTGTTGAATAGGCTTTCTTTTAATATTCAACTTTTCACGAGGATTTTGTCTTAATTAAGTAAAGGGCACATGCTTGTAAATTGTATTGATTTGATTCTAACATATATTTTACTGTAAAGACAGAAAATGCAAGTAATGCTTAGCAAGTCAGGTGGTATCTGATGAAAGGTCATCGACCTGAAACATTAATTTCATTTTGCTGTCCTCAAATACTGCCTCACTTGCTGAGTATTTCCAGCAATTTTTGTTTTTTGCTTCAAATATCCAGTATCTGCAGTACAGTATTTTGTTTGCATATTTATTTTAATCTATTTTGCTCTTCGTACCAGAGGAGGTGGAGAGTTAGGTTTAAGCTGGCACAAAGCAAGTCGGTTGGACAAGAAGCAAGTGGGCGTATATGACTTAGAGGCTTGTCTTCATCATTTGCACTCAATGGGATATTCAAACCCCAGGCGGACTGCCCTCACAGCAAACAGTGCAGGTGGAGTCCTAGCAGGGAGCTTATGCAATGTGTCTCCTGATTCCATCAGAGCTGTTGTTTTACGAGTAAGTTGGAAAATGACTTTTTAATCATGTTAGTTTAAAAATATTGTAAATGTTGTGAACTAGGATCACATCCTAGCATGTTTCCTGTAGCACTGTTAAAGTTAGATTGCCTGTCTCTATTCTGTGTTGGCCGTATTCTTTTTGTTTCCTGCATGTGTATCTCTTTCTCTTCCCATCCATTTTTACTTTTCACTGTCCCTCTGTACTCTGTCAGCCCACTTTTGGGTATTTTGCCTTCTGTTTCATCTGATTTGTGAGCGCTGTAGATGCCGGTCAATTAACAGGCAATGAAGATCACCAAGGCAATAGAACATAGAACATTACAGTGCAGTACAGGCCCTTCGGCCCTCGATGTTGCGCCGACCTGTGAAACCAATCTGAAGCCCATCTAACCTAAACTATTCCATTATCATCCATATGTTTATCCAATGACCATTTAAATGCCCTTAAAGTTGGCGAGTCTACTACTTTTGCAGGCAGGGCATTCCACGCCCTTACTACTCTCTGAGTAAAGATGACAAATTTGGATCCAGAGTGATAGGAATGACCCAGCAATTATGACAAGATGGCTTTGGGTTGATAGGTAATGGGCAGCAGGGCTGCAGAACATCAGTAAAAAGCAAACGAAGTGGAGACACTACATCTCCTCCAGACCTACTCACCTGATTACCTCCCTCGCCAGCCTTTTCTCTCCCTTCATACATTCAGTTTTTGTCCTTTCTCCCTCTTCTCAGCTATATTCCCTTTCACTGTTTTACTTCACACTTTAATTTCTCCTCTTAATATTTAGTCTATTCCCCCTGTTCCTTTCACATCTCCCAGTACTACACTTTATCCCATCAGACCTACCAGCAAATACATTCTAAGTGCAAATTATTTTTAACCTACCTCCAGGGCAGGTAGCAAATGAATCCAGACATTCTAGCACAGTAATAGGCCCATGGGAATAAGACCAGCCAGGACTCTCAGGTGGAACATAAAGTACAAGCCCGTGGCAGCATTTAAAGAAGGTGCTTGCAAAACAGTGCTTAAATCCAAGATCAAAAACAAAAATTGCTGGAAAAACAGCAGATCTGGCAGCATCTGTGGAGAGAAATCAGAGTTAACGTTTCAGATCGAGTGACTCTTCTTCAGAGCTCAGTCCCTCAGAACTTAAGTTCTGAGGAAGGGTCACTCAATCTGAAAATTTGTTTTTGTTTCTGATTTACGCCATCTGCAAGTTCTTCATGTTTTTTCTTAAATCCACGGTAGCAGGTACGGGAAGGAGTGACAGCCAAAGCAGTGGTAACCAAAACAGTAGTAAGGAAGGAATAGTTTTGCATCTTAGACCAAAAGTTCTTTCTTTAATGTGTCCAACTGTTTCTTGCCAAAGTAACTTTCCCCCATGAGTCTGCCTGATTATTTTGACAGGCTTTTTTTATCTGTAGTCAGAGCTGAGGTCACTCCTGTCATTACCTGATTTCCATACTTTGTCCAGCTAAAGAAAGGTAACCAGCAAACTTTTAAAAACATTTTTTCCATAGTTTGTGGATTTTAAAGTAAAGTGTAGTTTTTTTTTACTGTTAGCAGTAATACACACATCACCTACATGTTCTTACACACACGAGACCCATATGGATTAGCATTACTGAATAAATATCATGTACACTTGTGTGTACTTTGAGATTTTTAATTAGCACATTATTAATGAACTTAGAAAACAGGGTCAAAGACTATAAATCTCCCATTCCCCACCCCAACAAGCATGCACACCGTTTTGAACAATATTTAAAATTGTCTGGTTTAATGCAAATGTTAAGTAAAGCCCTTGCACTGTACCTTGCTGTCACAGTGCTGTATCCTGGAATGCATTAATGGTGCTTTGTATTTAGTAGGGCAGTCAGCTTTAATAGATGCTAAAAGTAGGATTACACATGACTAGAGTAATGTTCCAAAATAATGTTTATCCAGATGTAAAATAAATGCTTTATTTCACCATTATTTGCACCCTAATTCAGAATATGCTCCTAAACTTACTCATAACTGGCCAACTGATTTAATAAAGGGAACTCCATTGAGTTAACAATGTTTCCAGGACAAATGCTGTTTAATGGCCAAAACTATTTTGTCTTACAACATTTCTGCAGTAAATGTTGGCACTTTCTTTAGTTGGAATGAAGATCCTCAGTCCATCAAGGAAAATGTATTCTTAAAAACAATTTTTGCACTTCGTATTGGTTCAGACTGTGTGAATGGAACAAGTCTGTAGAAATGAAGTTAAGTTTAATGGAAGTCTCACCAAGTTTCTTCATTGACCAAAATCTTCTAATCTTTAGATGCCTTTAAAAAAGTATACCAGAGCTTTGAGGTGTTCATTCTGGCTTGCCTGAGTGAAGTATTGGAAACGAAGTTTGTCATATTCTGAAGGAGAAACACTGGAGATTGATCAGTTGATGCAGAAGAAAGGATGAATGTACACCAGCACTTACTACTCGCTAATCAAATTCAAGAGAGATGTGGGAACCTAACATCTTCACATCTCAGGGGCAACACTGGCTCAGTGGTTAGTTGCCTCAGCACCAGGGACCCAGCTTCAACTCCACCCTTGGGTGACTGTCAGTGTGAAGTTCTCCCTGTGTCTGCATGGGTTTCCTCTAGTTGCTCCACTTTCTTCCCACAATCCAAATATGTGCAGGTTAGGTGGATTGGCCATGCTAAACTGCTCATAGTGTCGGGGGGATGTGCAGGCTGGGTGGGTTGGCCATGGATGTGCATGGTTACAGGCTGGGGAGGGACTGGCTGGGATGCTATTCTGAAGGTAGGTTTGCACTTGACGGGCCAAATGTCTGTTTCCACACTGTAGAGGTTCTATGAAAACACCCAGCAATTACAGGTATACTGGTGCAGCATGTAGCAGTATTGATATTGATCAGAAAAGAATTAGATTTGATTCGCATTTTGAGTATCCTGATTGATCTGCACTTTTGTGACATCTCTCACCATGTCTGTCTGCTAACAGTTGGCTGTTGCACTTCAAATTATCCACAATAGATCTTTATATATGGCTAATGGAAGCTGTTTATGAGAGAAGATGTGGAAAATAGGTCATTGTTACGCGTTACATGTATTTGCCATTTTGTTTTCATGATAATACTAGCTTGTAACAATAATAATTACTGACTGGTGAGAATTTTTGTTGGCAGGCTCCTTTCCTCGATGTTCTCAACACCATGCTGGATCCTTCATTACCACTCACCATTGAAGAGCAAGAAGAGTGGGGAGATCCTTTGTCTGATCAAAATCTTTTTAAATGCATTCAAGCTTATTGTCCATATCAAAATATAAAGCCACAGGTAATTTTAGATGGTGGTTGTAATGGTAAGAGTTTACTGTGTCTTAAATTGCAGGTTTGCTGAGCATGCAGTCTAGTAACATGAGAGGTAAGTTTATAAACTCATCCATGCAAGTGGAGTGTATTCCTTTATACTCCTGATTTGTGTCTTGTCGATGGTGGACAGACTTTGAGGAGCTACAGAGTGATTTGTTGCAGGATTCCTAGTCTTTTACCTGCTCTTTTAGCCACAGCCTTTATATACAGTCATAAAATCATGGAGATGTACAGCATGGAAACAGACCCTTTGGTCCAACTCGTCCATGCGACCAGATATCCTATATAAATGTAGTCCCATTTGCCAGCATTTGGCCCACATCTCTCTTAAACCCTTCCGATTCACATACCCACCCAGATGCCTTCTAAATTTTGTAATCATATCAGCCTCCACCCATTCTTCTGCCGTGTCATTCCATACACACACCACCCTCTGCAGTGGCTAGTCCAATTCAGTTTCTCATCAATAGTAACCTCCAGGATGTTGATAATGGGGGATTCAATGATGCTAATGCTGTTGAATATCAAGGAACAGTGATTGGATTCCTCTTGTTTTTAAAAATGTAAGTGTAGTGGATACATTAGTGAGCCTGATACTGAAAGGCCATACAATTATCAGTGTTGAGACACTCTATTAGTCAGAATGCTTCCACTGTAGACGTATTGAATGAAAACAACTCCCTCACCACCATTGGACTTAATGGCTCTTCCAAACATTTCTCATTGTTGATTTGAAGTCGTGGATAATCATTTCAATTTATATCATTTTAACTTCAATTTTAGGATATTATAACAGCCATCACTGATTATAGTTCTTGCTGCATGTGTTAACATTTTGAAATTGAGATTTGAAATAATATTGATTGAGAACTCTTTCAATTTTTTGAGAAGGTAATCTAAGCAAGAATTAAGATTTTAATACTGCTTTGTTTTAGAAATACCCATCTATATTCATCACTGCCTACCAGGATGACCAGCGTGTGCCATTGTCAGGGTTGCTAAGATATACCAGAAAACTGAGAGATGCTGTGGCTGTTAACGCATATAATACAACAGGTGAGATTGGTGACCTCGAAATATGAGGCATGCATGTAAACTCCTTGTGCCATTTTTATCACTCCAAGCAATGCAGTGTTTCTGGAATTTAAAGGAAATTACTGATTTTAAGATTAAACATCTATTTACGTCAAAGCCTATTTTGTCACATTGTGCCAAACCCACAATATAGTTTACACTTCTGCAGTATTAGAATCTCTGAGGGGAGTCAGCACATGTTATAGTCACTAGTATTTATTTGGTTTTACACCATTGGGTAGCACTACCAAGCCAAACACAAGAAAGGCAAAGTCATGAGATTGTGTTCACCAATTGTTAGTAAAGCCTTTAGCTACAATTGAATATTTAGTGATGGAAGTTAGTGCAGTCTTTATCTACTCTTGAAATCGTAGATGACAATCACTATGTTCATTATTGTTCATGTCATTTCATCAGTACCAAATGTCAGCTTTACACACAAGTCAATGCTTTTAAAAGTATTGTAAGAACTTGAAGAAACCTTTGTACCATTCTATTATTTATTAACCAGCCATTCTAGGTTATTGAGCATATTCTAGCTTGCATTTGCATTCTTTAGTTTGTAACATTAGTTAATGATTGTATTTCTCATCTATGACATGCTACCACTTCATTTAATGATAGCTACAAATAACCCCAAGCATAAAAATAAGTATTGCCGTTTCAGTAACAATTAGAAAGGATCAAGCTAAGACTTGTCGCTAAATGCCATGGAATATTTTCCTAGGTTTGTGCCAGTGCTTCAGCCTAAATGCACTCAGTGACAGTACGGCCATCCTCTGCATGATCATGAGTTTTACACGGTTCTTCTCCTTGACCAAAGGACTAGCTCTACTTTTCTATCTGTGACTTGGTTATCAGATATTTATTATCCTCTAGGCTGGCTCACTTAACATCATACAGCTAAGCCATTAAGAGTGTGAATTGTATTGTGACTTTTTTGAATGAAATTTGTTGTCTTCTATTAGTCCTTTATCACAATATGAACAGTGATGTAAATGATGACTCAGTGTCATGATGCTGACCCAGTACCAGTATCTGGCTTTGCTGATAATCAACTATAAACAATGTGGAGTTGCTTTAAAATTCAAGTTAAAGAAAATAGAAGAATTTAAACTGAAGGACCTACCACATGGGCAACCCACTACTGCAGTGTATTCCCAAGCATTAATTGTAGAAGTGTTTGCAATGTGATGGAGGGATAATAGATCCATGAAGAGTAAATGACCTTTGTGAACACTCATGACAACAATGGGTTCTTTGACTGCATACATTGGAGAGAGAAAGTAACATTATAAAGGCTCGCTGGAAAAGTGTCAGAGCTAACACAAATACTGCATAAAGAGATAACAAGGTGTAGAGCTGGATGAACACAGCAGGCCAAGCAGCATCAGAGGAGCAGGAAGGCTGACGTTTCGGGCCTAGACCCTTCTTCAGAAAGATTTCTGAATAATAATGGTTGCAATATAAATAATCATGTATGCAACTTTTTTTTGATTCTATGAAAAGGGGAATGTTTGTGATATAAATGCAGTCAGTATTTTACCAATGTCCCTCCAGGATTGCCGTAATCATATGATCTTTACCATGAGGCACTGACAGCAAGTATCTATCTTACAGAAAGTTCAGTAAAGATACAGCAGAAGCCAGACTGTTTGTATTGTGAACTTGTAACATCAATTCACATACACATTATTTTTTATGTAAGAGAATTAAACTCTGTGACATTTTAAATGGAGATGGATAGAATCAAATTACCCATTAAACTTTAAAATATAAGTACAATGCAACAGTTTACAGGACTGGTCAGTTAGGTCTAATTGAAATGAACTACGTCTGTTTAATAATTGAGTCAGATAACATACTGTGCAAAGATTTTTCTAATTTTTTGTTTTGCATATTGTCTCAATTGAAGATGAATTACCGAACATCATTTTGGATATCCGACCTGGAGGTGATCACTTTGGGCAATCTAATTGGAAAGAATCAATACATGAAGTAAATCTTTATTTTTTTTCTTCACCGTATAGCACAGTCCTCTGTCTTGCAGATCAGTAAGGTTTATTTTAGCTGTTTGTATCCAAAAGCTGTATTATAATGCAATGATGCGTTAGCGCACTGATCCTGTTTTTAACAATTATTTCCTCTGACGTTAAGTAACTGAAGTATTAATTCAATGTCATCGAAATGCAGATTTTTAATAGCCTGAAAATCTTAAGATTCTACCTGCCCTGGTCTCAGAACCATCACTAAATTGCATTTTCTTCAATATGAGTGTAAGCACTTCCATCATTAAAATGTGATGCTTAAGGCATATTATGTAATTTGCGCTGCAAATTTTTAAAATTTGTTAATCTGGTTAAGAATAGTGAAGTTAATAATAAACGTAATCAAATGGACAGCAGGAGCAATCACTCAGAACATTTGAACAAGGCTAAAATTGTTATATGCAGGAGGGAGAAAAGTAGCTTTTAATGAGCTAAGTGAATGAACTTTTAGTGATATGTCAATCTTCAAAATTTGCAATGGTGCCTCACAAGACACAATTAATAGAAACAGGCATACTAGAGCAGGACAAGTGTCAGCTCTTAAAGTGTGAGGTTAGCAATTTAATAAAGTGTCCATATACAGTTTGTTGAGTAATTTTAATCACATTTAAGCTGAACAAAAGGCATTATGGAAAGACAGGGTTAAGCAGTGCTGCCTGCATTTGTGCTTCAAACAGGAGCAAGTGTTAACTGTCATTCATTATAAAGACATGGAGGTTAGATTTTACAGATTCCAACTGACATATTTGAAAGTGTGCCCTTCCCACCAGGGTCTCATCCATCCTCAACCGGTCTCCCATTTTACAGTGGGTGAGGGAGGCATCAGGCTACATTTGTGCGTGGGAAATCGTGTCTCACTAATTTGATTGAGTTTTTTGGAGAACTGACAAAAATGACTGATGACGGCAGAGCAATGGACGTTGTCTATATGGACTTTAGCAAGACATTTGGCAAAGTTCCGAGCGGTAGACTGGTTAGCAAGGTTAGATCACTTGGAATCCAGGGAGAGCAAGACATTTGGATACAAAATTGACTCGAAGGTAGGAGACAGAGGGTGGTGGTGGTGGAGGAGTGTTTTTTCAGACTGGAGGCCTGTGACTAGTGGTGTGCCGCAAAGATCAGTGCTGGGTCCACTGCTTTTTGTTATTTATATAAATGATTTGGATTTGAATATAGGAGGAATGGTTACTAAGTTTTGCAGATTGCACCAAAATTAGTGGTGCAGTGGACGGTGAAGAAGATTACCTCAGCGTACAACGGGACCTTGATCAGATGGGCCAAATGGTTGAGGAGTGGCAGATGGACTTTACTTCAGACAAATGTGAGGTGCTGCATTTTGGAAAGGCAAATCAGGGCAGATCATATACACTTATTGGTAGGGTCCTGGGGAGTGTTTCCGAACAAAGAGACCTTGGGATGCAGATTCATAGCTCCTTAAAGGTGGAGTCAGAGGTAGACAGCGTAATGAAAAAGGCACAAAAACAGAAGTTGCTGGAAAAGCTCAGCATATCAGCATCTGTGAAGAGAAATCAGAGTTAATGTTTCAGGTCCAGTGACCCATCCTCAGAACTGGTGGTAATGTCAGTTTATATGCAGAAGATAGGGTTGGGGGAGAGGGTAAGGAGTAAACGATAATGGGGATAGAGCCCAAAGAGAGAGAAAAGCAGTTAAACAAAGGAGTGGATAACATTTTGGCTAGGAGAGTGAATAGCTGTTAATGGAGACTATTAGTGCTAACAATAGGTAGTATGTAATAGCAGACCATGTGATTTCTAGGCCTTATGTGTGGAGTTGAGGGCTAGGAGATGGGAGAGATCAGGCCCTAAAACTATTAAACTCAATATTGAGTCCAGAGGGCTGCAGGGACCCCCAGCAGAAGATGAGGTGTTGTTGTTTCAGCTTGCGCTGAGCTTCGCTGGAACACTGCAGTAAGCCTGAGACACAGATGTTGGCCAGGGAACAGGGTGTTGTGTTAAAGTGACAAGCAACTAGAAGCTCAGGGTCTGTTTTCGGTCAGAATGTAGATGTTCTGCGAAGTGTTCACCCGTTCGACCCTAATGTGGAGGAGACCATATTGTGAGCAGACTAGATCCTGGAAAGTGCAGGTAAAGTGCTGCTTCACCTGGAAGGTATGTTTGGGTCCTGGGATACTGAGGAGTGAGGAGGTAAATGGGCAGGTGTTACACCTTGAGCGGTTGCAAGGAATAGTGCTGTGGGGCTGTGGTGGGGTGTTGGGAGTGAAGGAAGAGTGGACCAGGGTGTCCCGGAGGGAACAGACCCTATGGAAGGCAGACAAGGGAGGGGCATGGAATGTGTGTCTGGTGGTGGCATCTTGCTGGAGGTGGCGAAAATGACAAGTAATGATCAACATTCCACAGACAGCTGCACTTGCTACATCCTGAGATGCAGTACCATGTGGCATTATGCATACTCTCAACCTCTCTGTCCAACAACATCACATCACGCTAGCTTAGAGTCATACCACTTCACAGAATCTCTCCATAGTGAAGCAGGTGTTCGGTACACTTGCCTTTATTGGTCAGTGTATTGATTGTAGGAGTTTGGATGTCATGTTGCAGTTGTACAGGACATTGGCTAGGCCACTTTTGGAATACTGTGTTCAATTCTGGTCTCCCAGCTGTAGGAAAGATGTTAAACTTGAAAGGGTACAGAAAAGATTTACAAGGATGTTGCCAGGGTTGAAGGGTTTGAGCTATAGGGAAGGGTGAATAGTCTGGGGCTTAGTTTCCCTGGAGCACTGGGGGCTGAGCGGTTTATAAAATCATGAAGGTCGTAGATAGGGTGAATAGCCATGGTGTTTTTCTCAGTGTAGGGGAGTCCAAAACTGGAGGGCATAGGTTTAAGGTGAGAGGGGAAAGATTTAAAAGGGACCTAAAAGGCAACTTCTTCACGCTGAGGGTGGTGTGTGTATGGAATGATCTGCCAGAGGAAGTGGTGGAGGCTGGTACAATTACAGCATTTAAAAGGCACCTGGATGGGTATATGAACAGGAAGAGTTTAGAGGGAAATGAGCCAAATGTTGGCAAATGGGACTAGATTAATTTAGGATATCTGGTTGGCATCGACAAGTTGGATCGAAGGGTCTATTTCCGTGCTGTACATCCCCAAGACTCTTGAGTGCAACAAAGATTCACCACTTTACGGCCTGACATGGTGGGATTGTCTTACGAGAAGAGATTGAAATTGGAAGAATGAGTAATAATATCATTGAAACTTACAAAGTTTTTATTTCAGGATGGCAACGTGAGAAATTTAGGGAAAATGTTTAAAGCAAAATAGAGATGAGTATATGGAACACTATCAAACTGCAATAACAGTCTTTTCTTGAGGCTAACTCAGCACAGACAAGTTATCAAATCTAGAATATTACTGTTTTCGCTAGCTCACTTTTGTTAAGCATTATTTTGAACATAGAACATTACAGTGCAGTACAGGCCCTTCGGCCCTCGATGTTGCGCCGACCTGTGAAACCAATCTGAAGCCCATCTAACCTACACTATTCCATTATCATCCATATGTTTATCCAATGACCATTTAAATGCCCTTAAAGTTGGCGAGTCTACTATTTTTGCAGGCAGGGCATTCCACGCCCTTACTACTCTCTGAGTAAAGAACCTACCTCTGACATCTGTCCTATATCTATCACCCCTCAATTTAAAGCTATGTCCCCTCGTGCTAGCCATCACCATCCGAGGAAAAAGTCTCCCACTGACCACCCTATCTAATCCTCTGATCATCTTGTATGTCTCTATCAAGTCACCTCTTAACCTTCTTCTCTCTAACGAAAACAGCCTCAAGACCCTCAGCCTTTCCTCATAATACCTTCCCTCCATACCAGGCAACATCCTGGTAAATCTCCTCTGCACCCTTTCCAATGCTTCCACATCCTTCCTATAATGCGGCGACCAGAACTGTACGCAATACTCCAAGTGTGGCCGCACCAGAGTTTTGTACAGCTGCAACATGACCTCATGGCTCCGAAACTCAATCCCTCTACCAATAAAACCTAACATACCGTACGCCGCCTTAACAACGCTATCAACCTGGGTGGCAACTTTCAGTGATCTATGCACATGGACACCGAGATCTCTCTGCTCATCCACACTACCAAGAATCTTACCATTAACCCAGTACTCTGTATTCCTGTTACTCCTTCCAAAGTGAATCACCTCACACTTTTCCGCGTTAAACTCCATTTGCCACCTCTCAGCCCAGCTCTGCAGCTTATCTATGTCCCTCTGTAACCTGCAACATCCTTCCGCACTACCCACAACTCCACCGACTTTGGTGTCATCCGCAAATTTACTAACCCATCCTTCTACACCCGCATCCAGGTCATTTATAAAAATGACAAACAGCAGTGGCCCCAAAACAGATCCTTGAGGTACACCACTAGTAACTGAACTCCAGGATGAACATTTCCCATCAACCACCACCCTCTGTCTTCTTACAGCTAGCCAATTTCTGATCCAAACCGCTAAATCACCCTCAATCCCATGCCTCTGTATTTTCTGCAATAGCCTACCGTGGGGAACCTTATCAAACGCTTTACTAAAATCCACATACACCACATCAACCGCTTTACCCTCATCCACCTGTTTGGTCACCTTCTCAAAGAACTCAATAAGGTTTGTGAGGCACGACCTACCCTTCACAAAACCGTGTTGATTATTCCTAATCAAATTATTCCTTTCTAGATGATTATAAATCCTATCTCTTATAATCCTTTCCAACACTTTACCCACAACCGAAGTAAGGCTCACTGGTCTATAATTACCAGGGTTGTCTCTACTCCCCTTCTTGAACAAGGGGACAACATTTGCTAGTCTCCAGTCTTCTGGCACTATTCCTGAAGACAATTACGACATAAAGATCAAAGCCAAAGGCTCTGCAATCTCCTCTCTAGATTCCCAGAGAATCCTAGGATAAATCCCATCCAGCCCAGGGGACTTATCTATTTTCACACTTTCCAGAATTGCTAACACCTCCTCCTTATGAACCTCAATCCCGTCTAGCCTCCTTATGAACCTCAATCCTGTCTTGATGTTGATTGATTGAATTAGTCTCAACAGCACACTGAATTTTTTAAAAAATGAATACATTTTCATCACTTTAAAGTGTACTTTTTAAAGAGATATTTTAATTCTATCTCCACCGTCCAGCCCTCTACACACTATACACAGAAAAACACACACATAGACATTCACCCCCTTGTGCTAGACATTGTAGCACCGGAAAATATGACAAATTTTGTAGCTGGAATCACCAAAATATTACATTTATGCAATAAGAAATCATTTTCTGTCAATTGATTGTAATTTTATATTTTTATAGGTCGCCAGGCATTACGCATTTTTATATGAAGAGCTAGAACTTTAACGTAGAGGCGTCCATGAATATTTATTGTAGGTCTTCTATACAGCTCTCCAACAGAGAACTAAATGTTGACATTGGATTTAGTGAAAAATAATTCTTCAGAATAATTGTAATTAAATTCTATATTTGTGGAATTCATCCTTTTGTATTGATGAACTTTGAATCAGTATTTATTTTTTGTTAGCTAACCATGGATGTTCAGTGGTCATCTTAAAGTATTTTGAACTTTCGCTATTTTATGTACATGACAAAAATTAAGGTATAACGTCATGGAAATGTTTTAAATTCCAATAAATCATTGTCATAAATTCCGTTTCTTTGTATATATGCAACAGAAATTTTATTTTTATTCACACATGCTAAAGAAAACAAGTAATTCAGCGAGGAAAGTTAAGGAACAATTTTACATTTAAACCCTTTTTTCCTGTTATGATCTTAGTTGCTGTTCATGATTCAAGGTAACTTTCTTTTTCTTCTTTCATTGGAATTAGTTGCATAATAATACCTCAGCAATATTTACAAAAAGCTACACCATTTAATGTTAAAATTGTATGCTTGTTCTGCTGTCCTTGGCATTTTCTTTATCAATGTAACGTGATTTTAAATATATAGGTGTTTTAATACACATTCAAATCCTATGGTGTTTGTACTGCAAGGCCAGGACATTTGTATTTTTTTTACTGCTAGCTTTTTTATGGAGTTGCTCAAAAAGGAAAAAATTAAGGGCCGCACAGTGGCTTTAGTGCTTAGAACTGCTGTCTTCCAGTGACAGGACCCATGTTCAATTCCATCCTCAGGCTACTGTCTGATGAGTTTGCACATTCTCTCTGTATCTGTGTGGGTTTCTTGTGGGTGCTCTATTTTCCTCCCAGAGTCCAAAGATGTGCAGGTTAGTTGGATTGGCCATGGAAATGCAAGTTTACAGGGTTGGGTGGGTCTAGCTGGGTTGCTGTTCAGAGGGTTGTTGTGAACTTAGGCTGAATAGCCTGCTTCCATGTTTTAGGGATTCTGTCATATAAGCTCATACTTCAAGCCACAAGCTGCAAAAGCAATTCGGAAAATGAAGTGGTGTCCCATATGAGAACAATCGGGGGTGGTGAGGATCTGGAATACACTGTTTAGAAGGGTGGATGAGACGGGAAGCTTCACAATCTTTAAAAAGTAATTGAGTGAGCACTTGAAATGTTATAATATTCAAGGCAATGGGCCTAGTATGGGAAAGTGCGACTAGGGTAGGTAGTATATTTTTATGGGTACGGACTCGATGGGCCAAACGGCCTCTTCTGTACTGTATGATTCTATACAATATTGGTGAACTCAAAGAATATACATTTAGAAGACAATTGCAACATTATTTGGAATAATTTCTACTTTAGAAGAAAGATTTTAGATTATGCCTCGACTTTGCCCCATCCCAGTTCCATCTGCTGCTGAAATACTCATTCATGTCTCTGTTACCTCTGAATATTCAGCTATTTGAAAACACTCCTGGTTGGCTTCTACGTTGTAAACTTCAGATCCTCCAGCACCCTGCTATTTGTCTGTTAAATTGTCCAAGTCCCAGCTTCTTATCACCCTGTTCTTGCTGCCCTACATTTGTTCCCAGTCAAGCAATATCTTGATTTTAAAATTATCTTTGTTTTCAAATTCCTCTGTGACCTTGACTCTCCCTATTTCTATAATCTCTTCTTACAGCATAACCTTCAAAGATATCTGCACATATCTAATTCTGGTTTCTTGTGCATCGTTAATTTTAATCACTCCATCATTGGTGGCCACTTCTTCAGTTGTCTAGGTCCCTCCCTACACCACTCCACTTCTCTACTTTGTTTTTCTTGTGTTACTTGGTGTAATCCTTAGTTAAAGCTTCTCTGAAGTGCCTGGGAACATCTCATTAATATGTTGCATTTGTTTCTCGAGTCCAAAATTATTAAATACCTGTGTTCAGATGGGTATACTTATTGAATGAACAACATAGATGGGAGGGTTCGGCAAGAAAATGGAGTTAAGGCCACATTAGATCAGTCTTGATACTATTGAATGGGTGGAGCAGGATCATAGATCTAAATCACCTATTCTTCCTCCTATATCTTATGTTCTCATCATAGAATCCCTACAGTGTGGAAACAGGCCCAACAAGTCCACACCGACCCTTAGACCATCCCACCCAGACCCATCCCCCTATAACCCACCTAATCTACACATCCCTGAACACCACGGGCAATCTAGCATGGCCAATCCACCTAGCCTGCACATCTTTGGACTGTGGGGGGAAACCGGAGCACCCAGAGGAATCTCACGCAGACACGGGGAGAATGTGCAAACTCCACACAGGCAGTCACCCGAGGGTGGAATCGAACCCGGGTCCCTGGTGCTGTGAGGCAGCAGTGTTGATCACTGAGCTACCGTGCCAACCTATGAAAGGGGAAATGTTAACCAACCCAATTTCCTATGGGAACTTCTGTTTATTGTTGTTTCATGACAGTGTATGAATTTTGCCCACTTCCCTGCGACTTTAATTTGGTTAAGGAAGATAACTTGCATTTAAATAGCAGTTAAATAAATGTAGATCTTTTTTCATATCCTATTATATAGCACTCCCAAAGTTTACTTTCCCTTCCAAGCAACATTTTTGTTCATTATCGCCATTGGGCCTGGAGTTCTAAGCTAAACTTTCTTAAAATGTTGACTTCAGAATTAGACTAAAATTCTCTGCCAAGTGCCTTGCACCTTAGTGAAGAAAATAAGTTACTCAATTATCTTCTCCTTCAGTTCACAGAACTCTGTATGAAAGTAAGTTGCTGAATATTAAGGACAAACCATCGAATTTATCCACACCTATCACCTGTCCAGTTTCTTCTCATCAGCCTCTAAGATGATAAACTAAGATGAGCTTTCAATAAATTCCTGTAATTCGGAACGAATCTGTGGAAGCAATAGGTGGAATTTTATAAACTTATTTTCTGCTGCAACAATAAAGCCATCGTTGATTGGTAACTGGCTGGACTCTTCAGTGGACTTCACCTTGACTGTGAAGGGAAGGGAACTGCCATCCTTACCTGGTCTGGCCTACACGTGACTCCAGACCTACTGCAATGTGGTTGACTCTGAACTGCCCTCTGGGCAATTAGGGATGGGCAATAAATGCTGCCAAGCCAGTGATTCCCCTCATCCCGTTAATGAATAACAAAGATCTGTTCGAGGAAGGAATTCTAATGAAAGGGACTACAGTATCAGTTACAAGGGCTCATCTGCATATGGGTTTTTGAAGTTCTGCACTCTTATTTGGAATCAAGCTGCAGGATCTGAAAAACTGCAACGAGGTGATCTTTTCCAAGAATGGAAGAAAGAGAAATAGAGTGAGGTTTTATTGTCACATCTACTCAAGTACATGAATACAGTAAAATAGTTGCTATTCCTGGCGCGATCTTAGGTACAAAGATACCTAGTACAATACCTTTGGTATACAATAGAAAAATAAAGAAATAAGTTAAAAGTTCAATATTACAGTCCTTCTTTAGCCATGGGCCCACAGTCACTCCACGCTGGGCTTTCCCCACAAGGGCTCGCTCTCCCCTCCACTGGGCTGAGTCCCTCACAGCCAACTGCTCTCCAGCTGCATCACCACTGACTGCCATCCAGACTTGTAATCTGCATTGCCGGCAAATTACATCGTGTCTCATCAGTCGCTTACCTGCCGACTGCCATCCGGGCTCACTGCCTGCTTTGTTGACTGCCATCCAGGTTCGCAAGCTGCTTAGTCACCAACTGCCATCCAGCTTCACCATCGCCTCACCACTAACCATCAAAGTCCCAGCAGCTGCCACACTACAGACTCTGAATTCTAATGTCACCGCTGCCTCCGTGACTGAGCTCTCTCCAGAAGATAAGTTTTTAAAAAAAACCAAACTAAAAAATCTTTTTAAAAATGAGAAACAAAGAAAATAAATAAAAGCAGATAGAATGGATAAGCTGTGGGCTTAGGAACCCAGACACTGCCTACTCCATCACCACCATCTTGTTGAACAAGAGAGGTCATCCACTCCAACCAAGCATGTAAAACATCAAGAGCTGAAGTGTGGACCCTTCAACCTGGAGACAATTGACCAAAGCAATCCACAATCTGACAGTAGAAAAGATAAAGTGGCTCAACAAATTCTAGTATTTTATTCTTTTTACGTGGGCATCGCTGACTGGCCAGCATTTCTTGCCCATCCCTAGGTTCCCTTGAGAAGGTGGTGGTGAGCTGCCCTTGAACCACTGCAGTCCGCATGCTGAGCGTTGACCCATAATGCCCTAAGGGATGGACTTTCAGGATTCTGACCTAGTGACAGTGAAGGAATGGCGATATACATCCAAGTCAGGATAATGAGTGGTTTGGAGGGGAATTTGAAGGTGGTGATATTCCCATTAATCTGGTGCTCTTGTCCTTCTAAACAGAAGTGGTTCTGGGCTTGGAACATGCTATCTAAGGATCTTTAGTGAAGTTCTGCAGTTCATCTTGTAAATAATGCACACTGTTACTACAGAGCATCGGTGATGGAGGGACTCGATGTTAGTGGATGTGGTGCCAAGCTTCTTCAGTGTTGTTGGAGCTGCACCCATCCAGGCACTTAGGAGTATTCTATTATACTCCTGACATCGACTTTGTAGATAGTGAACAAGCTCAGAGGAGTCAGGGGGGAAGTTACTCGTGACAGTATTCCTAGCCTCTGACCTGCTCTTGTAGCCAGTGTATTTATATAGTGAGTCAGTTGAGTGTCTGGTCAGTGGTAACCCCCAGCATATTAATAGTGCAAGATTCGTGGTCATTTCCTGGCACTTACGTGACTTTAATGTTACTTGCCACTTGTCAGCCCAAGCCTGGATATTGACCAGTGTTAGACAAGTGAGGTGACTTCTAAGCAGTTAACAATCACCTACCAAGCAGTTACAACACTACAGGAGTAAAAGTGCTTTGAATAGCCTCTCAACTTGCCATGGCTAATCGCATTATTCTCTCCTATTAATTGACTGCAGCTATTCAGTTGCCTGAGGTTGTAGGCTTGCTCACCGAGCTGGTGTGTTTGATTGCAGATGTTTCGTGACCCTGCTAGGTAACATCGTCAGTGCGCCTCTGGCGAAGTGTTGGTGTTTTCTCCTGCTTGTTATTTGTATGCCTTGGTTTGCTGGGTAGTTGGCATCACTTCCGGTTCTGTTTTTCAGTTCCCTCTCACTATGCACTTCTCTCAATCGGCTTGGTGAGTTGCTGACTGGTACTCTGGCCAGGAAATTAAGAATTGAGGGCCATAGGAAAAAGTAATCCATGTGTTTAGGCATGTTATAACACACCTCTGGGGCTTAGATCCTGGTCCTTCTGGCCCAGAGGGTACATTATCACTGTACCACAAGTGGCCAGATTTGAGGGCTAAATAAAAGGTCATATTGGCATTTTAATTATGTTCATTACATAGTTAACATCCAGTTGGACTCCCTATTTGTCTTCAATCCCAATCCACAGAGACCTAGAGACCTAAAAGAGGGCAAGATGACATTGGGATCCTGAGTTCACCTAAATTTCTGGAGATTTAACTCCTTGCACATCAGATGAGCAAATATTTTATCAAATTTAACACTGACAAGACCAACTGGCTCAATTTCCTTGTCAGCCACGTGATAGAAAGAAAATTGAACTTCTCAAGATTACTATTTATAGCTGTGGACTGTAACATCAATGTAAAGGTCAATGCTGTCATAGTAACTTGGACTCCAATTGGCTTAATGATAGGTGGATGCAGGTAGCGTGTGGTGGAGATTGGTATGTGGTCAAAGTGCTTCAAGGCGGAGGAGATCACCAGGGGGTTGCAGTGGGAGAGAGATCCACTGTGATCTTTTCGGAGGGAGGAGGACAACTTCTTCAAGGTGGGCATCCTTGGAATAGGCTTTGCAGTAGGGTTTTCAGCGGATAGGAGATAGCAAGAACTACAGATGCTGAATGTCAGAGTCGATACAGTGTGGAGCTGGAAGAACACTGCAAGTCAGGCAGCATCAGATGAGCAGGAAAGTTGATGTTTCAGGTAGGGACCCTTCTTCAGGACTGGGGACGGGAAAGGAGCTCCGAAATAAATGGGTGGCGGGGGGTGCGGGGTTGGGGCTGTTTCTCCAGCTCCACACTGTATCATCTCTGACTTCCAGCATCTGCAGTTCTTGCCATCTCCAAGTCACTGAAAACCCTACTGCGAAGCCTCTTCCAAGGATGCCCACCTTGAAGAAGTTGTCCTCCTTCCTCTGAAAAGATCTGAATAGGTCTCTCTCCCACTGCAACCCCCTGGTGATCTCCTCTGTCCTGAAGCTCTTCGACCACACACCAATCTCCACAATCCCCTATTTGTATCCACGTATCATCAAGCCAATTGGAGTCCAAGTTACTGTGGGAGCATGCACCTCTACATTGATGTTACAGTCTGGAGCTATAAATAGTAATCCTGAGAAGTTCAATTTTCTTTCTGTCACATGGCCGACAAGGAATCCCACGTGCTGTTACCACCTGAAGTGGCATATGTTGAAAGGTTTTGCAGGTTAATACTCAGCCTGTTTGACCACATTATGAACAGACTTCTTTTGACCATCAAGACCTAGAGTGGGGCTTGAACACAGAACTTTTCACTCAGAGGCAGGTACCCTACTCATGACATCACAATCTCCATGGAGAAATGAAAACGTTTTATGAAATGATGAAAAATGTTTAATGTTGCATGCTGAAAGTAAACAGTAGTTTTATTGATGTGCAATTTGCTCACAGATCAATGGTTAAGTTCTTATTATTTCATTAATATTTCATTAAGTGGTTGTTTGTTCTTTTGTGCACTACATTAATTGAATATATATTGATTAATACATTTTTGGAACATCTTTTAAATTTGTTTTAATAGTTCAGCAATTCTTATAAAGTATGTCCAATGTATTCAAATAACATGCTTTCTGTGAAATATAGCACCTGTCTTTGAATTCTGCCTTAGTGTGAACTGGATTGCTTGTTTTGTATTCCAGTACAAGTCCTTCACCAGAACTAGTTATTACTGAAGCTGTTTGAACTTTATTTCCAATTTTATTAATGTCGGTACTGAGTCTCACATTTGCTTCCTTGGGAAGATATGAAACTTTGCTTGCCAGGTTTACTTCTGAAGCATTACCAAAATTTAGTACAATCAAAAAGACTGAATTCAAACCGTCGAGTTCTCTCACATATGCAAATATGTCTGTATCGTTCCATATGTAACACATCCATCCTCTATGAATGGACAGTGCATTCTGGCGAAGAAAGCTCAGTTCACGGAACAAGGTCAAGGTAGAGTTTTGTTGATCCTTTTCAACCTGTCAAGATATTACACAGAAAATGATGAACTTCAGGAACATAAATCAGTAAAATTAAAAATACACACAAGTTGCAAGTCCAAAGAAAACCAAATAGGTTTAAAATATCTAGATAAAGAATGAGTTATTGTTTAAGTTGCTCTTTTCCCCATTCTGATTATTGATCTAAACCTGAACCTTTGCATGTAAATTGTTAAAACTCCACAAATACAAGTTTAGCTTTTTGTAACTACTTGATCTGTTTTTGTACGAATAATTCTGAAAATTCTCTCTCACTTACTTCAACATTTACTGTAACATAATTTGGGTTGACAGGAAGCCAGGTTTTGTTTGCTGTACTGAAGCCAGCATTATCACTGCTATCCCATTGCATGGGTGAGCGCTGTGGATCTCGATTTGCTGTCTGGAACAAAATTGGAAGAAACTTAAGCCATTTGAAAAAGTTATTCAACTTTTTAAAATTTCATCTTCTGTAAAAATATTTATGCATAGAGTTTTCATATTACATAATAAATGTAAAATAAATTAAATAATAAACGTATTATTTGCCTATACATTTCCTATATATTTGCTGTTTGAGCCTATGGAATGGTAAAATGTTTTGTTCCATGTTCATATGAGGAATACTGTTAGTGACAATTTTCAGGTAGTCTAAGAACCGGAAAAGCTTAGTGCAATATGAATTTAAATGCAAATTTTAGATGTAATTTTAAATTTTAATCTTGCTACAACTTAAAATCAACAAGCTGATCATAGGACTACCAAGTAAATTACTTAATTTTGGTGTCTCTTCTTTCAATGTCGGAATATGTGAATATACCCAATATCTCTATTTTTTTTTAGCTAAGTTCATCCCTGCCACTAATTTTTAGAGGGTGCTATATTAGGGGGCGTTTGTAGCTAGCCACAGGTTTTTGTTTGGCATGAGGACAGATTGAGCAGCCCCTTGTATCATCAGTGTTGTTTTTTTTACTGCCAAGCCTCATAAACACTGATGTGATGGACAGATTTTTGAGAGGTGGGTACAAAAAAATGAATGGAGACTACCCAAATTTATTTCATGTAGACCTGGTAATCATCAAGTATGTAATTTTATTTCGGCAATCTAAACCAGATTTGAGCCCAGATTCCAGGTGTGGAATGTTAGCCTCCTAAAAGTTATAAAAACTTAATGTAATAAAATACTTACTGGATCAAATTTCCCAAAAGGATCTTGAATCTCATCTTCAGATGCAATAATATTCTCCATTCCTAATTCTTCTCCGTAATAAATAGTAGGAGTTCCAGGAAGAGTCAGCAGAAGCATATTAATGACGTTAACGTACATTGCACCAACATGAGATGCAATGCGAGAATTGTCATGATTTCCTACCTAAAAGGTAAGAAAATGGGCACACATAGCAACTAATTATGTTACAATGAATAATTTTAACATTGGATTACAATATCCAGTGGGTTATGTTAACAAACCAGTTCTTTTTGCACATATTGTTACAAAGCTGACGTTGACCCCCCCTCCCTCTGAGAACTAAAACCAAAACACCCAAAGAGGAGCACCTTGCCCTATAATCTGTAAAAGGAGTGTGAAAAATGGTGTAACCTGCCTTTCATTAACTTCTAGTGGTTAAATAAAATAAATTCCTGACACTCACTTTAAAATCAACAAGTAACATTTTATTTATCTGACTCTAACAGTAAACAAGTTACCTATTAACAAACCAAATAAATCCCTCTAACTACTAACTATTCCTGAATAAAGCAAGATTCTAATGGTATGCTGTTGGAATAAATACAAGTTCCACTTACATGAAATAAAAATAGAATTTAGTCTCTCAAAATTACAGCCAGGTTACGTATCTTCCAGAATGTTCTGTGCCTTCTCTGACAATTCTTCTACCAGGAATGCCATCTCTGTTGATTCTTCTGTCAGGAATATTAACTATTTGTGCTGTGGTCCTGTTGTTATTCAGATGGTGCTTTCTCTAAAACATAGAGGAGGCTGTGAGAGCCAGCGATTCTCTCAAGAGCTGACTGCTGTCAGCTCTGGCGGATGGCAGTTAGCTCTCTGGGTTTTGTCCAACTGCCTCCTTTTATAACCCTTGATAACATATCAATATTTGTTACAATAGGATTGGTCCTTTGTTGTCAAAAACATCAGATTTAAATTTAATTGGTTTTTGGTATCTAAGTGCCTGGTTCAAATTGATTGGCTAAATTCAAAACTTGTTGTATTGGTAAAAACTGTTGCTTGGCCTGCTAACTGTACAGGCTTTTGATACAATTGTTTCAATTTGGGTGCTCTCTGTGTACTTGCAAACTTTCAAGCTGCTGCTCACAGGCATCTATTTTAAATCTCTAAGCATAGAAAAAGCACATCATCTTTTAAAGGGACTATGCAACACTTTCCCCCTAGCATTTTACAAACACCAAATCTGAACTTCCTGCCTTCCAATCCACAAGCACTATTCCCAACTTCACAACAATATACTTTGCAATGTATGCATTCCCATACACACATTACCTAGGTTTGTTTGATTTAACCTGAAACCAAGAAAAATTTCCTTATTTGCTTCAAAATAAGTTTTGAATTTCCCTAACAAGTCATCTTTGCAGCTTATTACAAATGATTGCTGAAAGGGATTATCTCTACTGGAGGTTTCTGTTCCCTGCAACATAGGACAAAATGACAACTCTTTTCACTAGATTTAGGAGCAAAAGAGAATTTTGGATTTAAATTTAACCTGCTGTGCTATCACATTCCACAAGGTCGGAGTATATTTAAGTTGAACAAGATAACAACTGAATTGAATATACTCACAGTGCCAGTTACCCGTGAAATTTAAGGTCATATTCATTAGCCATTTGCTATAAAGTTTAAGTAAATACATACCACCCAGTTTGGCCATTTTCCTGCAGGCATATTGCGCATCCAATAATCTACAATTTTAAATACTCCATTTCCTGACATCTCTTTATAGAGATCAATAAGATAGAAGTTAAAGGGAAAGTTAGCTTCTTGTTGTATAGGTGTTCCATAGTACATCATAGTCTTATAAATCTCTTCATTGTCATAGGATTCAGTCATTAGAAATCTGCAAAGATAAAATGATTAAGAATCTATTCTATAGTCTGACAAGCAATCAATAAATGTGTCTTAATCATGATATAGTAGTGCAATCTATATCTTGCAAATAAGTTCAAAATTTTGCATGTGTGAGGATAAACATTGCTTTTGTTGGCCTATGTCAGTATTTATCATTTTCTGAAGATGAGGAAGTAAACATGTTGCAACCAGCGAGCTGAAATACAATAAAAAGGAATGCTTCAGTGTTTAAAAGAACCTATATATTTGGCAGGTGTAGATGTATTCCAGGACCTAGGAAATTAAGGCTAATATGAAGGATTGATTTTCTTTACTGAATACAAGAAAATTAGAATAAAAGTCAAACAAGATGAACAGCGCAAAAACAAATGCTGTGGCGAGATGTGTCCCTGACTTCACATTTGATAGTACAAAAACAATGATAACAGAGGCTTGTAGGTAGATAAATATACCTGACGCTTCTACCTGAATTGCATTTCAGAAAGTGCAGACTACAAGTTAGATTTTCTTGCTTTTTTCTAAGACATCATTGAAGAAAGCAAAGGGGTTAATTTAAACCCACGCAAAGGGAAATACAGCAGCTGAAGGGAAGTGAGGACTGTTGGATTGAGCCAAAATGTCTTTTCATACAATGTCAATTGTATTTAAACAACTCTGAGGTGTCTTGAGGATTTCTTAGAGGATGGTGGAGGATATTTGAACGCAGTGTTTTCCTTACCTGTATCTGCTAGGTTCTCTACTAAACTCTTCCAAAATGTGTTGCCAGCCACGGACAATATCATGCATGCCCACTTGTGTGGCTGTGTAATCATGATAGAGCTCATCATATGATGTAATAGTATTCTTGAAGAATAAATAAAGAAAATCTAATTAGTACAACTAATGAGTGCTTGATATTGACGAATAATATCAAAAGATTCTTAATTGTGGAGAGCATTACACCTGAGACTGAAATGTCCTCATCTGACTGTCATACACTTTGGAAAATAATGCAGCTAGAAAGGAGATAGGTGCTTGCCAAATATCAGTATTCATATACCCATCCAGATGCCTTTTAAATGTTGTTAATTATACCAGCCTCACCACATCCTCTGGTAGCTCATCCATACATGCACCACCCTCTGCGTGATAAAGGTGCCCCTTAGGTCCCTTTTAAATTTTTCTCTGTGGCCTCATTACAGGAAAGATGTGGAAGCGTTGGAAAAGATGCAGAGGAGATTTACCAGGCTGTTGCCTGCATTGGAGGGAAGGTCTTATGAGGAAAGGTTGAGAGAGCTAGGGCTTTTCTCTTTAGAACAACGAAGGATGAGAGGTGACTTGATAGAGTTGTACAAAATGATCAGAGGTATAGATAGAGTGGACAGCCAGAGACTTTTTCCTAGGGTGGAGGTAGCTATTACAAGGGGGCATTGTTTTAAAGTGAGTGGAGGTAGATATAGGGGAGACGTCAGAGGTAGGTTCTTTACTCAGAGAGTGGTCGGGGCGTGGAATGCATTGCCAGAGAGGGTAGTGGAGTCGGCCTCATTAGGGGCATTTAAGCGGCTGTTAGATAGGCATATGGATGATTGTATAAGGTAGGGGTGGTGGTTAGATAGGTTTAGGGTAAAACGGCACAACGTCATGGGCCAAAGGGCCTGTTCTGTGCTGTACTGTTCTATGTTCTATGTTCTAACTGCTAAGCATGATGTCTTGAATCTGAAATTTGGGAAGGGTGATTTGTGTAACCCTTCCTTCTCCATGCTCTCCTTACAGTTGCTATTTTGTGTGTCCTATCTGCTTTTTCGCCATCATCCTTTAACTAGAAATATCCATGTTGAAGGCAAAGATATGTTGCTGAAATACATTTGCTAGTTGTTGACACTACAGTCCTAATAGCCTCTATATTTTCAATCAAACTGTTCAGGCATGTTATGACTCTTCTGTGGCAGTTGAGCCTCTAACCTGGATCTTGTGACCCAAAGATAGGGCCCCTGAACTGCAACACAAGAGGCCTTCATAAATTTAAATTTTGCCCACTGCTATGGTGAGATTTGAAGTCAAGTTCCCAGAGCATTAGCCTAGGACTGTGAATTACTTGACTAGGGACATTACCATTACACCACTGTCGCCGCTCATAAAAGTCATTTTTAGTCAAAATGTTCAGCCATGGTATGAAAAACCTCTGGCACCAGTGGGACTTGAACCTAGAGTTTCTGGGCTAGTTGTAGGGATACTTCCACTGTTCCATGAGAGCATTAGCCGCAATATTAATTGTATCAATTGAGGTTAAGTGAATACAAGTGGACAACAATGTTTGGATAGTTAACCTTATTGTATATAAAGAGATACTTAATGACAGACAGGTTCACTTTTATCAAGAGATATATATCGGTTAATGTCTCACTGCAAATAAAGCTATTTTGAGTAAAGATTGGCTTTGGTTTATTTATTTATCAAAAACTGTCTGGAACGTAGCTCTCTATGCAGCAATTCACAACATTCACAAGTTAAAGAACTGCAAATGCTGCAGCAAATAACAGATAACAACCCTTTGCATATAATTGAAAATTGTAATTATCTGAACATGACCCATGGATCCTTCCATCTAGAACCAACCCATTTTTTAAGTTTGTGTAAGTTCTCAATTTTGGCAACATTTTTGAACATTTTTAATTACGGAGTGTAATATCTACATTTATTGTTTGTCATCTTTCCATCATTACCAGAACTGAATGAGTCCTCCAATTCATGTACCATAAAAAGTGCCAAAGGAGATTACTAATTTTACGTAAGATGTCATGTTGCTCACCGGATGCTGCGTTAAGTTGACTTGAGGTTCATTTCTTAAGCTTTCAGCTTCTAGAAGATACTTGACTGCATCCACTCTGAAACCATCAACCCCCTTCTTCAGCCAAAATCGTAATACATTCTTGAAAAAAATAGAAAAATTCAAATTAACATACACATGTATCACATTTTTAATGAAAATCCTAAATTAAAATATGCAAATTGCACACAACAGCAAATACAGCACTGTGAGTTACATAGCCAAAGCTAAACCAAGAGGGCAACAGTTGATTACAGCAAAGCTGACCTAAAGAGTTTATCATGTGAAAAAGTATCAACTGTGTTTAAATATCTCTCCAGTGCTTGAACATATAAAAACAGGGCTAACACTCTAGAACAGTAATGAGTAAGCACTATTAGAGGGGACATTGTTGAGATGAGATTTTAGGCAAGGCTCCATCTGCCTGTTAAGGATGATATAAAAGATCTGAATGACACCATTTTGTACAAGGTCAGAAGAAATATACCCAGTGCCTTGGACATTCATGAGACAGCATCAAAAAAGCAGGCTATCTAGTCATAGTACATTGTAATATTTCAATTGCATGTTCATTAAAAACTGTTGGCAAAGATTACAGATGTTAATCTGTGCTGCCAATTCAATCAAAATGGCAGAAATATTGTGTGCACTCATGATATCCCATTGGGAATCCAAGTTCATAGCTCCAAAATGTCTCTCTCAATGATTTCTAAATAAGTTTAAATCTCCAAAGTAACATACCAATGGTTCATTTGGTAATTTCCTTGTTCAGTCTGGGAGTGAGGCACTCAGACAAAGTAGTTCCCAGATCCAATGTATATGACTTACAAGTATGAGGCATTGTCATGTCATTTAGATATAGTTTATGAACTTAGTTATGGAGGAAAATTAGGCATAAAAATATTGACAAGTTGTGACACAATTGACCCTTGCTCCATATTCCACTCCTATGTGTCAGAATACACTTTGAATATTAGCTATGAATGAAAATCCATGTAGACAGTAGCCATGGATAACAGCATATCTTGCAGCTGTGTAATTTTGATTATTCTGTTGGATTGTATTGTGTTAAAAGTAAGACGTAATGCTGATTTCTGTAACATCTCCCACAGGTGTCTTTATTTTCTAATGCAGGGAGGAGGATACAATGGGTTAGCATACATTTTTCATACTGATATTAAAATAATGAAGAAACCTTAAATTTGTGCTGATAATTTATGTGGCTAACAACATAATTTGAGTTAAACCATGAGACAAACCAAAAGCTACCTACTTTCATTTCTTCTTGCACATCAACATTTCTGTAATTCAAATCTGGTTGTTCCTTCAAGAACTGATGTAAGTAACATTGTCCTCGAACCTCATCAAACTGCCAGGCAGAGTATCCAAATAAACTAACCTGAAAAAAACAGACAGTTACTAATGTCCTGACTGGAATATCAATTGTAGACTGACACATGATAATTCATTGCAACATCCTTTAAAGAATTAGGTCACTCGGCCCAACCAGTCTGTATTAGTGATTACTTTAAACTCAAACAATAGTTCAAATACCATTTGTCTGCTTCATTTCAATAAGCTTTTACCTCTTTCCTTTAACTAATCATCAACTATATTATACTTAAAAGTTGGGCATGGGACTGAATTTTCATCACAAAGCGGGAGACAGGAACCAGGTCTGTTTTTGTGTGCGAAATCCACCTCTGATAAGAAAATAATTAAGATTCATATTTTTGGGTGTGAGCTCTAAATTGATGTGGAATGGGTTTTCTGATCACCAGTGCTAATAAGGGTGGTTATGGGGTGGTCAAATGAAAAGTAGGTCTCCTTTCGACACTCAGCACCAAAGGTAAATGGGTGTTATTTGACCGAGGGAGAGATCTGATTATTACAATTAAGTTTTACAATTTATCACAGAGAATTGAGATGTCTCAAGGAAGTCAAAAGCCTGGCATCTGGGGCAGGGAAGATCACATTCCTGGAGAGGAGGAAGGTCTGTAAGAGTCAAGATATTTTTAATTTTTTGGGACTATAGACTGAGATGGACTATTTTTACTGGAATGCCAAGAAAGGTTTTTGTAACATGGAAATCAAGTGTTGCATATTTGTAGAATCATAAAATTGCTACAGCGTGCAAGTAGACCATTTGGCCCATCAGGTAAACACAGATCCTCTGACGAGCATCCCACCCAGACCCACCCTCCTACCCTATCTCTATAACCTTGCATTTCCCATGGTTAATCCACCTCACCTACACATCCCTGGACACTATGGGCAATTTAGCATGATCAATCCATCTACACATCTTCAGACTGTGGAAGGAAACTGGACAACTCACAGGAAACCCAGAGAGGAGAAGAATGTGCAAACTCCACGCAGACGGTCACCCAACGGTAGTATCAAACCTGCTTGTCTGGCGCTGTGAGGCAGCAGTGCTAACCAAAGTGCCACTGTACCTTGTTGGCAGTTCAGTACAATGTTGTGTTTTGGAAGCAGTAAAAGGAAGAATTTGAGAAAGAATGGCACAAAGAATCCTTCAATTTAAGGAAATTGTGTCTAGCAACAGTTGGCTGACCTGCCAAAAGCAGCAGAAATCTCTCTCTGCCTCTCTCTCTCTCTTTCTCTCTCAGAAAAGACAGAAAAACCAGGAAAGTAAGTTCACCTCATCAACCATCAAATTGGAAGACAACCATTACATTACAGAACACAGTGTTTCACCAACATGAAAAACAAAACACTTTACACATTGTGATCTGGACTTCTGAAGTTCAGAACTTTTTTCACCCTGTATGTATTATTTTCCATCCTAGTATGAGTGTTACACTGTTTATCTTAATCGTGATTGAATGTATTGGTTTTAGGGTTTTAAAGGATATAGTTTAAGTTGCCTAAACTACAAATCCTTTCTTTTCACTGCTCTTGTTAAAAATTGTGTTACAATAAAGTGTTGTATTTTCTGTTCCTGAAGAAACCTACAGTGATTTGTTTTCTGAGTAGCAGTCAATCAGGCAAATTGGTCATTTTGGTGGTCCCCTTGGAATTTTATACATTTTACATTTTGTGATAGCTTGCAGAATAGCAGAGCATGATTGTTGGTGTACTCCTCCAGGCTAAGTTCTGACAGGTGCACTTTAAGGAGAGGACTCCACAAGACTAGTTTGCCATGCAGCAGTGCACCTCTCTGTTCAGTTTTATACCCCTCTGCTTCCAATTCCACCTCACTTACCTCGTACTCCAGTTCCTCTCCCAATGAGTTGCCTCCTACCAGGACCTCATCAAGGTCCACAGTTTTCTGCAGGGCCATGTTATGTAGAGCACAACAGACCACTAGTCACTGAGATTGTATTGTAAGGGTATTGGGGGGCATCACGGGACTAGTTTAGCACAGAAATTGCATTTGTAAAAGCCTGAAGCTTGCATTATTTTCCTGCTGAACAGGCAGTATTAGTAGTACCACTTCATTCCCTCCGTCTGGTGCTTCCACAGAGGCATCAGTAGCCATTTCTTCAAAGCTTCATCCATTGGACCATGGGGGTCAGAATGAGAATCTGAGACAGCCTCGTCTGACAAAGGATGTAAGAACCATGACAGTGCCCAAAAAAGCGAGTGCACACATGGATGAATCTCTTATTATAATCCCAGACATTCTGGTAGTGGAAGCCCTTTCTGTAAAGAAAGAATCTCACTCATTGCTACGCATTTTGATAGACAGGTGAGTTCAATTCCTGATGCTCTGCATTGATGGAAATGAGATCCAACACCCTCAATCTTTGAAAGGCTCTAACATTAAATTAACATGTTGCCCAGCTGTGGCAAATGGGACATCAGTGACCAGTGTGATGCAGCTATGTTCATCGCTTTTTGAGATATTACTAAAATCTACAGGTGACCTTTGCCAGAAGTATAAATTGAAGAGATTCAATGCTAAGAGAATTTAACAGTCATTGCAAGGGTTTGATAACCACTACTATGATGTGTGAGGTCTTTGTTGGTGAGGGCACAGATTTGTATTGCCCATTTGTCAATAGATTCAGAGACTCCTATGGCACTGGTTCACCTTAGTCCTTAAGTAGCCCCATCTTCACTGCTCTATCTTATGTTGAGAGTATGGCCTCCTTTGTCTTCCTACCACTTCATTCATACTTACATTCCTTCATACTAGGCAATAACCCAGGCAGTGAATCTATGGTGCACTTTTTATTTGCCTCAATGTTCTTGCTGCTTTGTGAAGTTCAGGTATACAAGCAGAACTCCAACTGTGGTCTTACAATCACTTTATATATAAATTCATCACCAAGCCTCAATTTTTACACTTCACAACTCTCGCCAGAAAATCTAGTATTTGAATAGCTCTTTATGGCAACAACACAATGAAGTGTCGTTTTTAATGTTTGTGAAACTGAACCTCAAAGCTTCTGTTCCAAATCAGAAAGCTTGTTTCCATTCAAAGTGCAATTATATTTTCAAAAGGAATGTAACAACAGTGATAACTTAATAAATGAACTGGTTACCGTTGGCATTAAAATCATAAAACTCCAACTTATTCTCACTATTTTTCCAGTGAATACTACTGGTCACAGGAAAAGAATAGGAGATAAGAAAATTGGTAATAAAATAGAACTAACATGTCTTGCTTTATTAAGGAGTTAGAAATTACACAAAAGGTAATTTAATTGACATTATTACCCAGTTGTTGGGGTTGGTGGTTTTGTTCAGTTCATGTTTACAGTCGACCCAGATATAGTAATTAGTGTATTTTCCTGTTCGATTCCGGCTAAGCTGAAACCAGCGGTGTTTGTCACTAGTATGATTTGGAATGAAATCCATGATCAATTTCAAACCTTTTAAAAAGTATATAGAAAGCATTTCAATGAAGTTAATTCTTTCAAAGTTAATCAAATTGAATATTATCATAATTACTCACCATGTAAAAACTAGAATGCAGGAAGACCACTTGGACCCTGGTTCAGAACAAGATCTTTCAATGTCAATAGAATGATTTCCCTGCCTTTGCGTTCATCTTAAGACAGGAAAATTACATTTTGATAATGGATGCTAGTGAATTAGTTCTTCAAATACATACATTTGCCATTGGCATTAGAGTTTTACCAATAGTTGGCTTCCTATGTATTCATAAAACATTACCTCCATTCGCAGAATGCTTTATTCACTTGAACCAGTGAATAATATCCAGCTCTGCAGTTAACCTAGGAATGTCCCTTTCCCAAACAAATGTTGTGTTTATATGAAGTATTTTGAGTTGTTTAAGAGAATGTAAAACCTTGGTTATTACATATACAACACTAGTGGTGGAAATAACATGAGCTGTTAAGATAAGAGGAACAGTAGAATTAAAGACATTTACAGCATTCAGATCAGAGTGACTCTAGCATATCTTTGCTACAATAAGGTAAAACAGATTCTGTTGTCCTGCTCATCACAGACTCCTCAAACAGAGGAGCTGACTTTCACTATTTATAGTAATTCAAATTAAAAGAACTCTTTTAAATTTCCACTTAGGCTTCTCTGCTCTAGCAGAAGTAGTCTCCAGCTTTCTCTTATAGGTGAGAGGACAAAGTATGAAGCTGCATTAACACAATATTAAAGCAACCTGTCTTTGTCTTCTGTATGACATAATGATGCCACTATCATAAATAACCGATGTGATGATATGGCATTATTCTCCATATCAACACAATAAATTGCATTTTAATCTGCTAATAACCCACAATAATATTTAAACAATTCACTGATTAAGTTCTTCATTAAAAACAACAATCTAACATAGGAACATTACAAATGACTCCAAATAATTGTATATGTAAAATTGTACCTTAATGTATAATTTAAAACATATTAATTTGTTGTTGTGTTTTGGTTTAAATTACATAATAACTAAATTGGAGAGGCAAAGCATTTCTAACTCCAGTTATAAACATTTCATTAATGGATATGTATACAGGCAGTCTCCAGGTTGCAAAGAACAAAGAACAGTACAGCACATAAACAGGCTCTTTGGCCCAGTAAGCCCATACTGACTCATGATGCTTTTCTAAATCAAAAGCCCTTTGCCTCCCTGCTGCCTGTAACTTTCTAGTCCCTACCTATTCATATATCAGTCGAGATGCCTCTTAAACATTGCTATTGTTTCTATTTGCACCCTATCCACTGGTGGTGCCTTCAAGACATTTACCACCATCTGTGTAAAATACTTCTCACATCTCCTTTAAACTTACACCTTTTACCTTAAACCTATGTCCACTGTTAATTAATGTCTCTACCTGGGAAAAAGACTCCGAATATTTGTTTTATCCATGCCTCTCATAATTTTGTAAACTTCCACCAGGTTGCCCCTCAACCTTCGATGTTCAAGTGAAAACAAATCAACTTTGTCCAATCTCTCCTCGTAGCTAACACCCTCTTAACCAGGTAACATCTTAGTAACCCATTCTGTACACTTTTCGAAGCCTCCACATCATTCTGGTGGTGTGGCAACCGGAACTGTACACAATATTCCAAAAGTGACCTAACTAAAGTTCTATAGCAACATGATTTGCCAATTTTTATGCTCCATGTCCCAACCAATGAAGGCAAGTATGCCATATGCCTTCTTGACCACATTATCCACATGTGTTGTCACTTTCAGGGAACTGCGAACCTGTACACCTATATTCCTCTGTATGTTGATGCTACTAAGAGTTCTGCCATTTACCGTAAACATCTGTCCTGCATTACATCTTCCAATATGCATCATCTCGCATTTATCCAGATTAAACTCCATCTGCCATTTTTCCACTCAAATCCCCAGCCCATCTATGTCCTGCTGTATCCTTTGGCAATCCTCCTCACTATCCGCAGCTCCCTCAGTCTTTGTGTCATTCACAAACTTACTAATTAGGCCATCTGCATTCTCCTCCAAATTATGTATGTATATTACAAACAACAGAGGTCCCAGCACTGATCTTTGTGGAACATCATTGGTCACAGATCTCCAGTTCACTGCTATTCTCTGTCTTCTAGGCCTAAGCCAGTTGTGTATCCATCTTATCAGCTCACTGTGAATCCCATGTGTTACATCTTTTGTATTGGCCTGCTATGAGGGACCTTGTCAAAGGTCTTGCTAATGTCCAAATAGACAATATCTGAAATAAAGCTTTCACTAAAAGTGTTGATTTAGACTCTGTTTTAAAACATTTATCTTCTTGCATATAGCAAGTGAATATCTGACTTTGCATGTCAAGTGTAGCAAGATTGAACTTGACATTCAAAGCACTTTCCCAAACATTTTTTAAGTTTGTGTTATTACATAAAACATACAGTATACGAATAGACCAATCAGCACAACTGCTTAATATTTCTTATGCTTCTCACAAGTATTCTCAAACATTACGTCATCTAATCCTGTTGGCCTAACATTCTATCCCTTTAATGCTCATGTACTTATTAGCTTCCCTTTAAAGATATCAAGAGGGAGATTTCTCCATTTGGCATTTCCATTGTGTTCAGCGATTTTTTTTTCTAGCAGGAAAATTCTGTGTGTGAGAGGGTTCTGTTCTGTGGTCCATTCACAAGTCAGTTTGTATGCAAGTTGGAACAGTTGTTTGTATCAGGTCTTTAAAATTACATCCTGTATGAGATCACAGTCATAAGTACATATTTTCATAAGTCAGACATTCATAAATCAGGGACGCCTTCTAATTTTTTTTTATTCTGATGTAAAATGTCACTTACATTTATGGTTTGCATACTCTGTGGTTCATAAATTATGGACTTGCCTCCTATCTTGACTTTGTGTGATAGCTAGTTGGAAGTTCATTTCATATCTCTCCTGATTTTTATTTGCATTGACTTCATAGAATCACAGACATTTAAAGCACAGAAGGAAGATTTTCGGCCCAGTGTGTCCTTGCCAACTTTCAAGTATGTATTCAGCCCAATCCCACTTTTCAGTTCAGCCTGTAGCCTTGTAGGTTAAAGCACTTCAAGTGCTACCACCTTTTTTTGTTTGGCTGTGAGTTCCAGTTTCCCACCATCTTTCAAATGAAAAAAAATTCCCCTTAAATCCTCTCTAAACTTTTCTCTTCATATCCTAAATCCAGGGTTATGAACTCCTCAAGCAAGCAGAATAGAGCAATTCAGTTGATACAGTGCTAGATTTTATGTGTTCCTGCCAAGTGTATTTTCAGCAGGGTGTGAACAAAAAATAGGGCAGAGGTACCCAGTCCACATCTTCCAATCCATTCCCTATCAAACTCTATAATATGAGGTGGAATGATAGATACCAAAATTGGCAGTTCATCCATATTTAACTAGATAATTAAGGGTTAACTAAGCTTAACTGACCCCAATATTGCCCTACCATACTATAACGTAGTTGGCTTGGGAAGGAGTGGGCAGTCCATTTCTTTTTAAAGGGTGGGAATGAGCAGGGGTACTTTCTTTGGAAAGCTCCTTGTGTACATCAGGGACACATTCTTCTCCCTCTGAAGAAAGCACTATCCCACTCCACTTCCCTCCTCTTTTCTGAATTTTAAAATCTCCCAACCCCCCTTCAGCCTGTACTTGCTTGTAGTCCTTTCAAAGTTCACTCGGCACTGCTGATTCTATTGGAGTTGTCTACTAATAAGATTGGTCAGTAGCACCAGAAGGTGGCACTTCCACTAGCTGCGAAATCACATTCTGCACTAATTTAGCTTGCCCACCCTGAGTCATGGCTGCAGGTGCCCTGCTACTTATCAGTCTATCACCTGGTAGCCAGTACCTTTATAGAGTGTGAGCAGTCTACTAGCCCCTCCATGAAACTCTGCCCTTCATAACTTTATGCACTCATTAAGGTTTCCTTTAACAAACTGGGAAAGATTTCAACTAAGCCTGGGATTTATCCACTTTCAAAGATGTTAAACCCTCAAATAATTCCTCTCACACAATGTTAATTTTATCTAATATTGTATTTCATGATTTCCGTCATCATTGTAATGTCTATACCATCTCCCTCTTGCATGATAACAGGCACAAAGGCACATTAATATCTTTACCAAAGTCCACCACCTCCGCAAATATATTACCTTTATACCTAATAGGCCATGGCTTTTCAGAGTGGGGTTTGCAACCTCAGATAGGCATCGCAAATTGAAAGTTTGGGATTATGAATTTCAAGGCAACATTAGTTGCTATGGAGCTATTAATATTTATAATTCAACTGGTCCATTGCTCTTTTTAAACTGATTATTCTTTTAACATTTTGAGAAAAGCAAACATATCAATCCATACCTTCATAACATTAAAAACTTAAACCAAAGAATGGACTCCACACATAACCCCATATAGACAGACATGACCAATGCTTTCCCTGCTATGTGGAGAACAATTTACAGTCAGATCATTGGAGACTTGTCATTTGTGTTTTGCAATCTATAGAAACTAGTCAAACTGGTATTACAACATAATAGCAACCGAAAAATAAACCTCAACTATTTCAATGTGATCCCACCTCTGTCATGGACAGCTTCTAAGAGGTTGTCAAACTCTTCCATTGTTCCAAAAATTGGATCGATTTCTTCAAAATCTTCCACATCATACCCAAAATCTTTCATTGGAGACTTGTACACTGGACTTAACCAGATAGCTTTAATGTTTAAATAAACAAAGTAATCCAATTTTTCTTTAATGCCTGGTGGAAACAAATAAAAGATATTTTAATATGCTTCTTTCTTTTACATTAGATGCAGAATTAAGATTAAAACTCCCAAAAATGTAATTATGATGATACGTATATCAGTTATTGGTGAAAAAAGAAACATTTGTTGAAGAGATAGTGGGAACTGCCGATGCTGGAGAATCTGAGATAACAAGGTGTAGAGCTGGATGAACACAGCAGGCCAAGCAGCATCAGAGGAGCAGGAAAGCTGACATTTCGGGCCTAGACCCTTCTTCAGAAATGGGGGAGGGGAAGGGGATTCTGAAATAAATAGGGAGAAAGGGGGAGGCAGATAGAAGATGGATAAAGGAGAAGATAGGTGGAGAGGAGGCAGACAGGTCAAGGAGGTGGGGTTGGAGCCAGTAAAGGTGAGTGTAGGTGGGGAGTTAGGGAGGGGATAGGTCGGTCCAGGGAGGACGGACAGGTCAAGGGGGCTGGATGAGGCTAGTAGGGAGGAGATGGGGGTGGGGCTTGAGGTGGGAGGAGTGGATAGGTGGGAGGACAGGTTAGGGAGGTGGGTACGAGCTGGGCTGATTTTAGGATGCAGTCGGCGGAGGGGAGATTTTGAAGCTTGTGAAGTCCACATTGATACCATTGGGCTGCAGTGTTCCCAAGCGAAATATGAGATGCTGTTCCTGCAACCTTCGGGTGGCATCGTTGTGGCACTGCAGGAGGCCCAGGATGGACATGTCGTTCAGGGAGTGGGAGGGGGAGTTGAAATGGTTCGCGACTGGGAGGTGCAGTTGTTTGTTGCGAATCGATTGTAGGTGTTCCACAAAGCTGTCCCCAAGCCTCCGTTTGGTTTCCCCGATGTAGAGTAGGCCACATCGGGAACAATGGATACAGTATACTACATTAGCAGATGTGCAGGTGAACATCTGTTTGATGTGAAAGGTCTTCTTAGGACCTGGGATGGGGGTGAGGGGGGAGGTGTAGGGGCAGGTGTAGCACTTCCTGCGGTTGCATGGAAAAGTGTTGGTGGTGGTGGGGCTGGTGGGGAGTGTGGAGCGGACAAGGGAGTCACGGAGAGAGTGATCCCTCCGGAAAGCAGATAAGGTTGGGAGGGAAAAATGTCTTTGGTAGTGGGATCGGATTGCAGATGGCGGAAGTGTCAGAGGATGATGCGTTGGATCCAGCGGTTGGTGGAGTGGTACGTAAGGATGAGGGGGAATCTGTTTTGGTTGCTATTGCGGGGAGGGGGCGTGAGGGATGAGTTGCGGGAAATGTGAGAGACACGGTCAAGGGCGTTTTCGACCATTTGTTGAAGCTTTGACACATTTGTCGAAGCATTTTGCTTTACCCTGAAGAAGGGTCTAGGCCCGAAACGTCAGCCTTCCTTGCTCCTCTGATGCTGCTTGGCCTGCTGTGTTCACAGCTCTACACCTTGTTATCTCAATGTGTCTACATGTTCTTTCTGTCTTTGAGGCCCTCTTTATTAACTTATGTACCTTCCACCATGTACAAATGCATTCACTGTAAACCTGGTAGCAAATTCTAAATTGGCAAATAGTCTAATTCTTCACACACTCAGAGCAAATGTTGTCCAATCACAAAATCACATGAAATGTTGGACACTGTGTTTTGAATTTTGTAAGCACAGGCATAATTAGTATGGTCAGCACTTTGTCTGCTGTGATATGTTGCTTCATACGATTCACAAACAGAAGGAATTTGTACAAACACTGTCTGTTTCAACTAAATAAAATAGGTGACAGCCATTCTCTTTTCCTTCTAAGTGATAGATTTTTAAAGTTATAAACTTGCTCACAATGCTCTCAAAATTTCAGTATCAAATATTTCAAGGTGAGAGAATTATGATCTGTTAAAATAACTGTCTCTGCAGAGATAGTAAGAACTGCCGATGCAGGAGTCAGAGATAACACAATGTGGAGCTGAAGGAACACAGCAGGCCAGGCAGCATCAGAGGAGCAGGAGAGCTAACATTTCGGATCAGGATCCTTCTTCAGAAAAGTCTCTGCAGAGTTGTTAAGGATTTTGATTTGATAATGGTATAGAACTACACCAGATTAAAAGCCTCTTTTTCTACAGTTTAATATTTGTGTTGGCATGTATTCACTATGTGTAAACAAAAACTGAAATAATTGACTTGCCATTTGTTCCCCATCTTATCCTCTCATAATAAAACTGCACAAACCCGATGTTGTTGGCATCAACAGCCAGTTTAAATGGCTTTGTATAATTTGATGGTACAGCAGTCAGGACAGTTTTCAAGTTGTCAAAGTCCCTCTTATATTCCTTTGTCAATTCAAATTTCTTGTTTCTTAAATCTAATCCTTCATCCAATAAAGGGTCATGCTGTCTCCACATTAAAGCTCCCTGCTCAGCTGGCACAACTATAACCAGTTTCAGTATTCACTCATTTACCCTTTTCTTTAATGTTAATATTTTTTCCTGTAAGCTTTAAACAAGCTGCAGCCTTAGCTTACTTGCTTCTTAACATATGTTATTTAAAGTCTTCAAATTCATGTCTTCAAAAGCTTCTGTTTCTCAAGCTTTTCACCTGACCAACTCAGTTTTCTCCCTAGTCCTGCCCTGACTGTTCTGAGGACTGCTAAACTAACAGTAACTCTGTTTCTATACTCTTTTATTTCTCTGAATGAACTTACCTTTCTAAATGATCTTGTTTCTATTTCTGTCTCCCTGCATCATTGGACACCTTTTGAAAGGATCCAGCATAGTGCTGAAGTTTGGAACAAATCTTTGATAAAGTTCATTTATACTTAATTCCTACAAAATTTCTTGTTTTGTCTTAGGTATGGAAAACTCCAAGATAATCCTTATTGTTGTTTCTCTAGTTACTACGTGGCCTTGTCACAAGGTGTGGCCCAAATAAGCCACTTTTGCTTTGGCAAATTTACTTATGGCCTAATTTATGACCAAAATAACTTTCTGTAACAGATAAACAATTTGTTTAAGTGTTGGAAATGCTTCCAGGTTTGGCTGAACACAACCAAATCACTAACATATGCAATGCAATTGAATAAGGCTTTGATGACCTTGTTGGTTTATCTTTGAAAAGTCATTGGTGCATTTTTCATTCCAAACAATGTGACTTGACATTGGTAAAGTCCATCCAGGATTGTAACAACTGGTATTTCTTTGGCTGTGTCATCAAAGGTACTTGATAATATCCCTGTGTTTGTCAAAGCTTCTTGATGCAATCTTCCAGTTGTGGAATCAGACATGAATCTGCCTTTGTTACCATGCTGACTTTGCAATAATCTCTATACAGTTATTGTGATCCATCATGTTTAGACCCTACTACAATAGGTGACTTCCTGCTACTGTGACTTGGTTTAATAATATCATTGTGCATTTTAAACTTGATCTCTTCTCTCACTTGGCCTAACATCCATTGATTGAGTCTGAAAGAAAGTTGTTTCATGATTGACATGCTCTACATGGACATAATTTATGGCCAAAGTTGTTTTCCTTTGCCTACTTACACAAGTCAATTTATGAGTCTTTGATAGCTTTTGTATCTCGATAATTTTTTGAAAAATTGTGTAATATTGCATTTAACTTGTCAAGCACCTCCATTATCCAATCTAGTTACTGGAGAGTGAAATTTAGAATTTTCAGTTTCCGATTTATTTTCAAACCATTCTGATGCTTTTATTTCATAGTGGAACAGTTTGGCAAGGGTCTTGGCAAATTCAGGAGCACAAGTCTTTAGATGAAGCTGCCAATGTGCTTTTAACAAAAGAACATAAACGTTTATCACATGAAAGCAAAAAACAACAAAAAACATGTTTTATTACACAAGAAATATTTGAAGTGGTGTCACTACAAATATCAGAAAGAAAGATTCAACTCTCTTTATCCCTTCCGGACACCCTATCCTTCGTCCAGTAAAGGGTCATGCTGTTTCCATGTTAAAGCTCCTTGCTCAGCTAGCACAATTATAACCAGTTTCAGCATTTACTAATTACTGTTTTCTTTAATGTTAATATGTTTTCCTATAAGCCTTAAACAAGCTGCAGCCTTAGCTTACTTGCTTCTTAACATGTGTTATTTAAACTAATTACTTCAACGGCCTTCTGTTTCTCGAGCTTTTTGCTTGAGCAACTCAGATTTCTCCCTTGTCCTGCCCTGACTGTTCCAAGGACTGCTAAACTAACAGTACCTCTGTTTCCATACTCCTTCATTTCTGTGAATGAACTTGCCTTTCTAAATGAACTTCTTTCTTTTTCTGTCTCCCTACATCATTGGACACCTTTTTATTAGGCAATAGCCCAATTTTCTTTCTCTCTTCCACTCTTTTTCTTGATGCACTAAAGTATCAGTGGGCACCACAGTGGGTCAATGGGGAACACTGCTGCATCACAGCACTAGGGACCCAAGTTTGATTCCAGCCTTGGACCACTGTCTGTGTGGAGTTTGCACATTCGCAAAGTATCTACGTGCGTTTCCTCTGGGGGCTCCATTTCCCTTCCACAGTACAAAGATGTGCCATTACGTGGATTGGCCATGCCAAATTGCCCATAGTGCCCAGGAATGTGCAGGATAGGTGGATTAGCCACGGTAAATGCTGGTTATGGGGATAGGTTAAGGAGCTAGGTCTGGGTGGGATGCTCCTTGGAGGGTTGGTGTTGTCTCGATGGGCTGAATGTCCTCTTTCCACACAATGGGGATGCTCTGATTCTATCCACTTCAAAGGTTTTAAAGATTGCATCTAAATGCATGCAAATGAAACTAATCTCCAGAAACTCCGCATCATTCACAGGACAACTCTAAAATGAAACTCAAAACCACGTTTTCCCCTCCACACAATATAGAAACACAAATCAAACTTAAAACTAAAACATCATTCTTCCATTTTCGAACTCAAGTTCCTAAAGAATTATACTATGAAAGTTCATCAGAATGTGAATAGATAATGAGCTGAGAACACAAAGAATGTGGGAAAACCTGACCCACACCTAAGTGGATCCCTTCCTATTTTTGTGCCCACCTACATATTTTATTCAATAAAATGAACATCCCTCGCTTCATGTCCACAGTCAGATTTGCTTTCTTTGCGAAATGTATAATGCTGTAACTAAATATTTATGACATATGTAACTGACATCATTGAATAGAATGATTCTGCATCCAGACCTAAAATGTCAGAAAGGGTTATGCTGCTTCCATGTTAAAGCTCCTTGCTCAGCTAGCACAATTATAACCAGTTTCAGCATTTACTAATTACTCTTTTCTTTAATGTTAATATGTTTTCCTATAAGCCTCAGAAGTACTCCCCTCAATGAGGAAATTCTGAATACACAACTACTGTTGATTCATTGAATTATTAAATACAACCCTATTGTGTGCAACAATTACGAGACAAAATATTCATTCTACTGGTGTAGTGTCTTTCAAGATGAATAATCTCCTAAGAAGTGAGACAAAAGCTGGTTCAGAGAGTGTAAAGAGAGTAGGAGTAAAGGTAAGATTATCACAGTTGGCAAGATACAGCAATGTCCAGTAGGTTACATCTATGACTGCTTCTATTCACCCCGTAGATTTTTTAAAAACAGGATGGAAGAGAACAGCATTAAATTTTCAGGAGATAGTAAAATAGGTGAACAGTTCTGAAGACTAACGAATCTGTAACAGGGTATTGATAAGGTTGTGGAAGAAACCAGAAAAAAATTAAGATGATGAGTGGATCCCATTGATTTTTCTTTGTTAATATGATTGTTTTCCTCGTCTAAAAAAGGCTAGGTGCATCATAAAGTGTCAAACATCAACCCAGGATGTGTAATGAACATACCACCCTTTCACAAAGACAGGCTTTTGAACATGGACAAGCTACATGGTGAGGAAGCCATTTTGTCTTGTACTTTATAGATTCAGTAAGAAGCCACTGAGGCACATAGTTCCATCAGAAAGCCTCAAAACTCACCATGGTTTGCGTGTTGAATGAATGTCCTGAGGAAATAATGGATGTGGGCATAGTTACAACGTTTAAAAGACACTTGGATAAATACTTGAATAGGAAAGGTTTGGAGGAATATGGGCCAGGAGCAGGCAGGTTGAACTAGTTGACTTTGGGATTATGCTTGTCATGGACTGGTTGGACCGAAGGGTCTGTTTCCATGCTGCATGACTCTATGACTAAGTTAACTAAGCACATTAGATAAATAAACACCAATACCTTGGAATTAGATACAGAAACACCCCACCAACTTGTTCTAAACTTTATTTTACCTGAGAACCAATCTTCTGGAAATGTTATTATCAGAAGCCTTGCAGCTAACTGAAAATTATTTGTTATATAGGCATTCAATCCAATGAAAGCATCAACTCATCTACTAAGCTACAGGCCTGCCACAAAAAGGCTGGTTATTCTTGAAACATTCCAGTCCTTCTGGTGTAGGTTTACTAGGCATACAGGAAAAAGACAATAGCATCTTATGAGTGCTTCACCACCACATCTGTCATCCCCTGTTATCGTCTTCATTGTTCACTCAAGTTTCTTCATATAGTTAAGTTAAACGGCTACTAATGGTTAACTTTGCATTTGTGGCACAAATGTGGCACTGTGCCAGTGAAAGAAACTGTAGCTTTATGACTATTATTTATATAGCTGAATTTTAAAGCCTCTACCCCATGCAAAAAGGGCAATAGGATACCAAAAATCACAGGGCAAGACTGACTATACTCCTTACTTTGATAATGCTGCTGGTGCCAGTGTCCTGTGATTCACAGCTTAGGGAGTCTGGGTAACCTCTGAAGCAAACAAAGGAGTATCAATGATATTCCAACCGGAATGTTCCAACACAATTAGCACATGAATGCAACTTGTGAGTACCAATGTGGTGTGAGGCTAATTTGCAATCCTTTGTGGTGAAGGCCAGAACTGGCATTCAGGATTGGTACTTAAAGAGGCAAACAGCTGTACGGAAGATTCATCAGTGTGTTTGCTGATGCTGAATTTCAATTCTGTGGAAGCCTTTGCATCCTGAATTGCGATTACAATGCTGAGGGATTTTTTTTTGGCAATTATGAACATAATTCAATCTTTGCCTTGAGGAAGGTTGAGTAAGAAGAGGAAGAATGGAATTCATTCCTTAAACTTAATTGTTGAGTTTTGGATAGGGTCAGGACAAACTGGTCTAGGCACTAGCATGCAAAATATGGGCACTGCTTCGGCAGCTATTGTAGGAGCAGGCATGCTACCATCTTAATGCAACTCATCATACAACCAGAACTGAAGTAGACCATTCAGCCCTTGACACATTCAGTAATATCATGGCTGAGTTTTTCATGTTTCAAATTCCACATTCCCAACAACACCTTTGATTCAGTTACCTAATATACATCTATCTACCTCTGCCTTAAAAATTTAAGATCCTGTTTCCAATGGCTTCTGAGACAAAGTTCCAAAGTTGCACAACCGTCTGAGAGAAAAAAAAAACATCGTCTCTGCTCTGAAAGAGTAACTTCTGTTTTTTTTTAAACGGTGCTTCCTAGTACTGGATTCACCCACAAAACGAAACATTTTTTCTTGTCCACCTTTCAGGTCAAGACCGTTCAGCATCTTATACACTTCAATCACATCATCACCTCACTTTTCTAAACTCAAATGGAAACAAATCTAGTCTGTCCTACCTTTCTTCATAAATCAATCCACTCATTCCAGGTATCAATCCAGTAAATCTCCTCTGAACTGCCTCCGATGCATTTATATTCTTTCTTAAATAAAGAGACCAAAGCTGTACACTATATCTGCTGTTTTTCTTCTAGAATTATTGTTACTTACCATTCAGATCTCCAATACCATTCCCATCAGAGTCTTTGAAGGATCTTGGGTAGATCTGGTAGATTGGGCTGGCTTGCCACCAGTCCAAACACTTGGGCGACAAGGCAATGATGGTGATAGTGCAGGCTACCAGAGCAAGTGTGGCTGCCAGGATGAGCCAGAAAATAATTTCTCTTGGCAGCCTGTAACGTAATTGATTAGAATAGCACATTAAGACCTCTTTTGGCATTCCCGCGTAGGGTCCAGCTTCATCATACATGCTCAGTTGGTCTTCCTTGTCACAATGTATATTCAAAGTATTATCAGGCTCCTCTTTAGGTTTAGTGCCTTCACTGAATTCACTTATTCTGCAAGATCTTCTTTCTTGGCTTTCATCTTCTTCAAAAGCTCGGTTGGTATTACCTTTTTCCTCTCTCAGATCCGTATTCTCAAGATTGGTTTGATTTGTGTCAAAAGACATCTTAAATGCCTTGCTTTGCAATCACACTTTTTATTTGTGTAGCTACAACTCTGAACTGGTTGGTGAAAATATTGTATTTTATGCAGTCTCATCTGGTACCTTTGGACTTCAGACTCTTACCAGCATTTAACAGGTGATAGTGTAAGCAGGCCAAAAATCATTAACTATGTGAAAAAGATATGTTTTTGCCAAGCATACAAATACTATTCTCCATTTCTCAATACAATCGAAAACTTAAAATTTCAGAACAATCCACATATGATTCTAATTTTTTTATAGAAATGCAAATATGTTTCAAAACTAAATTTCTTTCAAAGGTTAAAAAAAACTTTAAGTGCACTTAATTATACTTAATTTACTTCCTTAATCTGCTCTATTTTAAACCTGAGTGAACACCAAACTGGCAATATAACGTTCTTGACCTTGGAAGTTCAAAGCACAGTCATTGTATTACCAACTTCCTCTTTTGGTTTAGTCCTATCACAGGATTCACTACAATCTCATCTATAAAGATTGTACAGTCCACCTTACCTCTGCAACTGGTATGACTTCTGGTAATAAGATAAACACAAACTGTGCTGAAAATCCAGGTAAAGCTAGCAAAAATCCATGGCCAATGGACAAATTGAGCCATTGAACTGTTCCTGCCTCTCTCTGGACAATTGTTAATTTCTGCATCACCTCTTTGTACATTGTTCTACACCACTAAATAATTCAGGAAATTAGAAGAAAAATACATTTTGCAAGATTTCCAACAGTATGCGCAAGGAGCAACAAACAAGAACAATGTATTGTTTGTAGAACAATGTAGAAAAGAATATTGTTATTATACGCTGGTGCATATGCAAGTTGTTTTAAAATCTTTGCCAAATAATTTGTATTTCCCTTGGTTCCTGCACTAACAGAGTGGCCAGTGAATCTTTAGAGGAGTGACTTACACTAAAAGTACCTACGTCTGTATCCAGATGGGGCAGGAATGGTGGAGATGGGTGAGGGGTGCAATTAGACAGCGAACTTTCATATGTTCATTTTGTTCAATACGTTTCTACTTCCTTATCTTGTATTCATGCTTCGTTCAAACTATCATGTTAGTAATTTGGGTAATTTTAACAACTGCTGAAGTGGAAATTATATTATCAGAACCACTCATGTCAGCAATTCTGCAATATAAAGAGGCTATAAATTTTCTGCGTGACATGTGAGATACTGAACAGAAATTAAAGTACAATTGCCTGGTTACCAAGAGCTAAAGAAATAACAAACAACCAAATTGTCTTAAAATATACACACACACCAATAAAATATTATAGAAATGTTTTAAATATCCTTAAACAGTCTGTAAGTCAAGAAGTAAACAATGAATTCTGCATTATTTTGGGAAATTAAAATATTTATGACTCATGAAAGATGAAATTTGATAGCCCCTGGAAGCAGGCAATTAAATTGCTCCCATTTGAAGTAGTGCAGGCAAAGTACAAGCCTTGTGTCTCTTGTTATTTTAACTAATTTCAGCATGTAGCTAGTGTTAATCATACTGTTCATTGCTTGAGTCTATCAGAAGAAGGCCAACATAGTGAGTGGTTAATACCAATTATATCTAGCCTGAGTCTCTTAAAGAGGGAATGCAGGTGCCGGCAGTCATGCATAACAGTGACTCTGATCTGTGAAACATTGAACAATGTCATGAAAAAGAAAGAACAGGTTTCAGATTTTTCAGATGCTGTATTTGAGGCATTGTTTGAGGAGGTAAGAAGAGAAGAGATATCCTGCATCAGGGCCACATATTTGGAAGCCAGTGGGAACAAATCTTCATCGTGGTCATTGCCAGGAGTCAAACCCTTTGGACGTTGATGCTGTTATCCATCCTCAAATGCTCCTTTTTTAACAAACCATACTACAAACATCAAACTCTACTCAATTCTCTGCACCGCTATTACTCACAAACAAACCATAATAATCTGAACACACACCCAACATACATAAGTTGCAACACACCTTCATGTATTTGCCATTACTGCAAGTGTCACACTACATCTCATAGCTGTATACACGGCCAGCAACACATTTAAGACGGCCACGTCAGCTAGAGTGATCAGATTTACTGACACACTTCCCTCTGTCTGGTGGGGTAAGGTGGTGCTCAACTACAGGTAAGTGTTAACTGGAAAGAGACTCCCATGAAGGACACAGTACTTGTCATAGTGGAATCAGCATCGTTGAACCCATGGCCAGTGGAGAGGGTGAAACCATTAGGGATGACAGCATCCATATAGCTAGTCCCTCTTCTCATATCCCACTTTGCTAGATACCACCTTTCTTTTGGTTTACAAGTTGAACATAGTATAAGTATGCATGTCTTACTTTCCTTCCTGTGGCCTTTGCCTTTCAAATAGCAAAGAAGTACAACCTTGCCAGCAACAGGAGGAAGATAGTGATGAGGATACATCATTCAATTTCACACTCACAGCTATCAACTCAGAAATTAGAGGTGGAATCTGTACTAGGTGAGACTCTGGTCATGAGTGGCTTACCGTTAGGGAAGAGGGATAACAATAGTATAGATGCCAATTTTCTTGGTGGAGAAAGTTGCTGGTGAGTTTTGTTGCAGGGAATTTAGATGAGCTCAGATGTCCTATCCTATAGAAAGAAGCTGGTGAATATGAACAATTTGCACAATGTCTGATACAGAGAAACCTAACTGAAAGCCTTAGCTAATATCAAGAAAATTGAAGATGTTCATCAACTTCACAATTGCTTTACACAGAATTTGGATTCCATAATTTGCACCATAGATTGTTAGTCAATTCCATTGACTATTTCATGGTTAATGTACTGCCTCACCTCAGGTTCCCAAGGGAATGTCTCACTGAGCATAACTATTGTTAGTGCCCATTTTCATTTCTTGGCCCTTATTCCTCACCTCCTTTCTTCCATTGTTTAAGTTTTTTAACTTTAATTGTGGGTGCATGTCAGATCAAACTTCAAATTAGGCAATAGTTTAAACCACTTCCATCTTACATGTACTGTTCCACCATAGTGAGGCAACATCAAAAGCCTATAATTGTTACTTCCCTTGTGGTTTGCATGCTGTTCATTTGCATTTAGTTGTGGGCTATACACTAGCTTTTGGATTGGAGCTCCAATACTTTGGATGATCTGTTTTGTTGAGGTGAAACAGACACAGTGTGTGCACATGTGTTTCTATCTCCAAAGAACAGAATCGTAGAAGTCTGAGAGTTCACCTGGAGGACAGTCATACCTACACTGGTTCTTCAAACGTGCATATTTACCCTGGGCCAATCTCCTGTTTTTCCACGATACCCTTGCATGCTACTTTTATCCAAATACTGCTTTCTAGAATGCATCAATTGAACCTGCCTCCACACTCTTCCAGGCAGTGAATTCCATACTGAAAGTAAAAAATGCTGGAATTAACAATGGGTCAGGCTGCATTTGTGGAGAGAGAGCAAGCTAATGTTTCAAGTCTTCGTCAGAGCTCCCCCTAACTACATGCTGAGTGAAAGACTTTTTTCATATCACCCTTGCTTTTTTTTGAAAATTACTTTAAATCTGTGCTGTATCATTCTTGTTCCTTTCACAAATGGAAACAGTTTTGCCCTATCTGTTCTATCAGACCACTGATAATTTTGAAAGCCTCTGTCAGATGGCCTCTCAGCCACCTCTTTAGCAGAATAGTGCCAACTTTTTCAAAGGAGCAGGAAAGTTGACGTTTCAGGTCGGGACCCTTCTTCTTTTCTGAAGAAGGGTCCTGACCAAAATATCAACTTTCCTGCTCCCCTGATGCTACCTGGCCTGCTGCATTCCTCCAGCTCCATACTGTGTTATCTTTGACTCCAGCATCGGCAGTTCTTACTATCCCCAACTTTTTCAAACTGTCTCATTACTGAGGTTTCTCAGCCCTGGAACCATTCTTGTAAATTACTTCTGTACTCTTTCCAATGTGTTCACATCTTTCCTTTAATGTGGTGCTCAGAACTGTACACAATGCTCCAGCCAAGGTCTAATAAGTATCTTAGACATCACCTTCTTGCTCTTATACTCTGTGCCCCCATTTGTAAAGCTGAGAATACTATATGCTTTACTTACTGCTCTCTCCACCTGTCCTGCCACCTTCAATGATCTGTACACAGAGGCACCTGGATCCCTATGCTCCCATAGCACCTCTAGAATTATATCCCCTATTTTATATTTTCTTTCAACGTTCTTCATTCCAAAATACCTCACCTCAGAATTCTCTGCATTAAAACACATCTAATTTCTATCTGCCCACTCCACCAACTTCTCAATGTCCTTTTGGAGTTCTACCCTGCCGTCCTCACAGTTTACAATTCTTCCACGTTACATGTCATCTACAAATTTTGAAACATTCCCCTACACACCAAGATCTAGATCATTAGTACATGTCAGGAAAAGCAAGGGTCTCAATTCTGAACTCTAGGGAACTCCATTAAAAAATTATCCCCCAGCCCAAAATATATCCATTAACCATTATTCTATTTCTTCTGACTCAGCCAATTTTGTATTAACTTTATTCCAAGACTAAAACTTTCCTCGTAAGATTGTTGTGTATCACTGTATCAAACACCTGGTGAAAATTTGTGCGCACCACAAGGCTCCTGCATAGTGATAGATATGCAGAGTTTTTAGCACCATACTGTGAGCCCAACTGACAATTCTAAATTGGTTGTTGGCATAATTCCTTGCACATTCAGGATGATCTAGCACATGTTGTTCAAATGCAGAATCACATCTAATGCTAAGATACTGTTAAGATATGGTCAGTGCCTTGCTTGTTACAAACAGTTGGAGAGACATTTGTTACAATCCACAGTGTCTCATTCTCTCTTTTAAGTAATGTTCTCTAACTTATCACATTCAGCTCATGCCCAATACCATTGAAGTTTTGTTTAAGTAGATTCAGCATACCATGCTCACAATCAACTCTACATTTTTGGATTGATCCTAAAGAAGTAAATGAACCTTCAATATTCTGTAAGATAAGGGAATTTAAGAACGGAAA